GTCGCGGTTCCTAGAAGCGGCCCGTGTTAGTCCCCGTATCCTGAAGCCGTGAGCCATGTGCTTACTCGGTGCATGTAGGCCTATGGAGTAGCAAAAAAAAAAAAAAAAAAAAACGGCTCCTCCGTTTGCCTTCTTCCCGGAGCAATCAGCATTTCCTGTAACGGCAAAAAGATTGGAGATGCGAGCTGGGCTTGTCATATCCTTAAATCGAATCCCAGCTCGTCCTAGCTTACCCGCTGCCGCCAAACCTTGACGGCGATGCCGCTAATCCACCACGGCTCGTCTCGAGATACCGCCACTGCCGCTGTCGACATGCGCTAGATGATGCGTCCATGCTTTTCTACTCCCGGCAAGCGAATGTTTTCATCGTCATGGCATTGTTCTCAGCTCGCCATTGTCGTGCCTCGTATAGAGGTGGGGGTGCACGGAGTGGATTTGCTTTTGCAGGGGTTGTGTAAGTGTTTGCTTGAGGGGGAACAAGCATCGGCTTGCTGACTGACAGCCGTGACAAACTTTGTAGCAAACATGTAGTATAAACATGCCATACTTGTAAGACACGGTGAAGAAAAGGGCAAGACGTTGGCAGATTTCTCGTGTAAGCACGGCCCCGGGAGAGGGCAACGTGGCTATGCCGGATGACAAGCAACGGCGCCGGGGAACAAGGCCAAAGGATGTAGCAAGTTTCTCGGCGATGCTGCTCTGTATCTGGCATCTGATGATCACGAATCGAATCATTCGTCTCAGCCAGTAAGCACCAGAACAAATGTAGCATGTAGCATGCCATGCCTCGCATATACCTACCTGATACGCGGCATGTGCAAAGCAAATCATGTTCCATATCAACCCAAGAAATCAAGTATGAAAATCACCGGTGGCCAAAACAATGATGCCAAAAAAAATTAAACCCAGTCTTTTTCAGCTCGTGCTAGGTAGCCATCATAATCACGTTTCCCTTCCTAGCTCCCAGCAGATGGCAGCTCTGTGACCAACTGTCCCTGGCATGCGAGCAATGCCACACAAGTCGCATCTATCCCGGCCGCCTTTGTGATTTTGGCCGCCCAACCTTTATTACCATCCGCAAATCCTAGGCCTCAGATATATCTATTCGCCCAACCAAAAAATAAAACCAAAACATGCTAAAATCACCCGGGCAAAACACCACCCAGGCACACATCCAACCCTGTTTGTAAAAGTAAAACAACAGGCCGAAACAGCTCAAAATCATAAACCAAACCAGACAGACGCCATGACACCTCGCTCGCACATAACATGATGTGGGTAGCATGCTTATACAGTTCGTATCGTCACCGTCCCTTGTTATTCATGTACGGCACAATCCCATCGCTCCCGCGCAAAGGACAATGAAGAAGGGGGAAGAAGAAAATAAGAAGGAAGAGAAGGAAGAGGAAGAAGGCAGAAACTAAAACATGGAGGAGAAGAAGAAGAAGAAGAAGAAGAAGAAGAAGAAGAAGAAGAAGAAGAAGAAGAAGAAGAAGAAGAAGAAAGACGCCGGCTTCTGCAGATCAAAGCATGACTGTTCCCAGTATATGGGAGGCGGCCGAGGGAGACTGATCAACGTGCCTCGAGATCAGAAACCAGGACCAGGACTGGGACCATGATCAGGTGATTTGTTGAGTGCCCCTTTAACAACACCCAAGGCCACGCCGATGATCAGCGCGCCGCAGAATATAAACAGCACGGCCAAGAGGATGATGCACATCTTGAGGCGCCTCTGCTTGTGCCTGCGCTCCGCAGCTGCGGCGTCTAGCTTGTAGGGGTCTTCAGCAGCATTGCTGGCCTGCGTCAGCGCCGAGGTTGAGGCCCCCGGAGCCAAGGGTGCCATTTGAGGAGACATGGCAATTGTCGCGCCGTGTAGCGGCATCATCTCTATCCCCCCCGTCTGAACAGTTACATCAACGCGCGTAGTTGGACGTGTAGCCGGGTTGGCGAGAGCCGTTGCATCGATTTGCGAGTACTGGTATGTGCTGGGAGCCTGATTCGGGTCATAGGGAGGCGGAGGGCTGCTGGGGATATCGTAGGGCTGCCAAGCTGCCTGGTTCTGAGGCTGTTGTTGATGATGAGGCTGGTATCCAGGTTGAGCTCCCACGTGGGAGGGCAAAGGCGTCATTCCATGCGAGGGATGCGAAGGGCTCGCGCCAAAGCCTCCACTGCTGTAGGACGCCTGGAGCTGCTGCTGCTGCTGTTGCTGTCGGAATGGCGAGTCGTCCGGATAAGCAGCGTTGGGGATCGAGTGCGAGGGATGATATTGCTGCCGCTGGATGTCGTCGTCGTATGAATCCATGGCCCGGGCCGAGCCGTGGCGGTTGCGCAAGGCGGTTGAAGGAAACGGTTTGACGGGTCTGAGATGCGAGCAGGATGCAAGATTTCCAGAACAAAAGGCCAAACGTGTGAGCCCCGGGGGTCTCCACCAACGCAGCCCACCAGAGCTGCAGGCTTTTAATTCAGTAAGCAACAGCGGCAAGGGGTTGTGGAGGCGAGCGTGCATATACTACATACATAGAACAGGTGGTATACGGAGTATTAGTACGTGTATGTGTATGTGTATGTGCGCGTGGGATCCTGAGTGGTTGTGTGATGGCGTGAGCAAAAAGTACGCAGAACAGGGTACAGGCAGGTGCTCGTAGGTGCTCGTAGGTGCTGATCGAAAGAAAGAATGGTTTGGATCTGACAAAGAAACAAAGGCAGATTGCTCAGGGGTCCTAATAAGCTAGCATCCGGCAAACCCTTGACGTAATGAATGTTGAAGCTATAAGCAAGAGCGACTGGAGAAGGCCGTGTCGTTGCGGTTATCGTCTCGCGTGGGAAAGAAAGGATGCCCAACGGCGGGCCAAAGAGTGAGAACGAGGTTTGGGGATGAGGAGAAAAGAAGGCGGGTTGCCAGCACGAAGAGCTGCCCTGATCCAGACAAAGAATGAGGCTGTGCTCGGGGGAAGCGGATCGACACGGCGCGGGTCTGCTAATAGAACGAATGCTAGCAGCAGTGCCGGTGAGGCTAGTACTGCAAGTTAGTACATACAGCATGCGAGTTTGCGGCAGAACAGCTGCAATTCGAGCATCGTGTTCCGCATCCACGCCTGCAGCACTAGCACTTAATGCTACTCGTAGATTTCAAGGCGCACCAACGTGTGGCAAGGCGTGACCAGTGTCAATGTCCCCATGGGGTGAGACGAGGTTGGCTGTCTCCATGTGCGCGCTGCCTCACATCTCGTGTCTGTCTGTGCTCGCGTGTCCAGCCGCGTTCATTATAGCCTCCATACAGGCAATAATACCTGCTTGTTACTCTGCAAGCTCGCATTTCGCTCCGTCCCAGCAGCGATCGATCCAGACCGTCAAGGTTGCCTTCGACTCATACGAGTACCTGACAGGCTCGTCCATCCCGCGGCTTGGCACGAGAAGAGAGGCCTCGAGGCACCGACCGACGAACCAGGGGGTTACCAAGGAGCTGCTGGATCGAGCAGGGGGGGAGGACAAGTGTAATTTGGGCCTTCTGTTCCACGGTGCTGAAGGGCCTGTAACGGGGTTAGTCGGCGCCAGACACTGAAGGTGAAACGGGCCAACATGCCTGCGCGTTATGCGGCTGTGCCAAATAGCTGGCAAACGAAACGAGCGGTTTTTGCGTGATTACGAAGAAGCGATCAAATGCTTTTTGTGTGCGCGTGCGTGAGTTGAGTTGGGAGGTGGTTTTGGGTTAGAAGGAGGTCAGGGGAGGCAGAAAATTAGAAGGGGTACAGACAAACTTGTACCGATGCCTGAGGAAAGATACCAGGTACCAGGTAGAGAGAGAAGCCACAGTCCCATTCTGGCGTAGGTATTCGACGGAAAGCAGAAAAAGGAAATGGAAATGAATAAATAGGTGTACTGAGCAATCTCTATTAATTGGCTCTTTGATAATGAATTACGTGCAATTACTCTTCATGTCTCTCTCACCTAGGATGAATCGCACATCTATCATGGAGTTTTCAATAATTTGAATTGACATTATGATATCAGATTACAGCATCTCGCTGCAACAACAATTCCACGACAATAAGAGAAGCTTCCAACAAAGCGTACGCCAGAATGCCGCTCATATCAGTCGCACGTTGTCAAGCCAAACGCTTTGCCTAGGTGGTTGAGCCTCACAAGTATCATACATCAAAAAGCAGAAGTAGAAAAAGAGAGAGAGAAAATGAAAGAAAGAAAAGAGATTAATACTCATATGCAAACTCGGCAAAGACTTGATTACTTTTTTTCTCCAGGCTCAGCCTCATTATTCTAAACTAAAACACCGGCTTAATCCGCCTTTCTAGTAGGTAGGTACATTGCAGTATTAAAAAACAAAAAAAAAGACGACTCAGAAAAAGGAAATAAAAGGTTTTTCAAGACGCGAACCCGCTGCTGATAAGAGGGGGAATAAAATGGAGGAGAAAAAAATAAGATGAAATGGAAAAGAGTGATGGCAGGAGCCAGGACAAAAAGAAAAGACTGAGTGTGAGAAAAGAAATCCGTGATCGTCGACTTCTTCATCTCCGAGATGCAAAAGTTTGCCGTCATGTGAACTTCTGCGCTTCAGTGCGTGTTTGTCTTGCAGCGTGACAAATGAATGCGAGTCGAGCTATTCATCCAACCATCTTCCACATGCTCTATCATTGCACTCGTTCTTCCAGTTGTCGAGTACCCTGTCCCTGTAACAGATACAAAAGAGAAGACCAAGGGGGGTAAGCAGATGATGCCACCTTGGTGTGTGTGCAGCGGCGTATATATGTGAGTGAGGATGTAAATGCGAGAATGCTAGTATGCGAGAATATGCGGGCGTGAGTGTGTGAGTGTGAATGTGAATGTGAGTACGTGTGTGCGCGAGGAAATGGGGGTTGAGACGGAAAGAGGTGACATGAATGGAAGTCGAGGAGATAGGGGCAAAAGTCCCTGTCAGACTGCTCTTCGCCACCAACACCGCTGCTGTAATGATGTGTCGTTGTTGTGCAACCATATCCCCCCCCTTAATATGGAGGTCTGGTCAAATTACCCAAACTCCCCTCGCCAGGGCGGCTGTCGATGCCCCTCAGAAGCTCTTGCAAATCCATCGTTCTGCCACCATCATCGTGGCCACCAAAGACGGACCGGGCTGCAATGCTGTCACCTCCTCGGCTGTTGGAAACACGCTTATTGGGGGCCTTTACCCCGTAGTCTTGAACCGCAATGTTTCCTCCATTCACCTGCCCTCCCTTTTCTGAAAGGACGCTGAGGTTGGGGAGCGGGGGCACGGGAGGGACACCCAGGCCCCGGCCTCCTTCTTCCTCGCGGTCACCATCGAGGTAGAGCCTCGGTAAGCTATCGCGGTTCGAGCCAGCGCTCAGCGGGGCGCCAGAGCTGCCAGACCTCGACCTCTTGCTGAAGCCGTCAGCCGACGTGGTTGGCCGATCCGGGTCTGTGCCTGTCGGGCTGAAGCTCTTTTCTGACGGGCTATACTCGTAGCTCACCATGCTCTCGCCGCTATCGTCCTCGGAACCAAAAGCGTTGGGAGAAGCGTTGCCGGACAGCACACGCTTGAGCTGTTCCACAGACGCGACGCCGGCCTTGCTCGACGATGATATCGTCTGGGAAATGCCGCTTCGAATGCTTCCCTGCCGGAATCTGGGCGAGGGCCCAAGAGGTCCAAGATGGCTTTGGTCCGCCATGTGCGTTTGAGAAGAGCGCGGTCGCAGGTTATGCTGGCTGCCGTAGGGCGAATACGGGAGGTAGCCGTTGTTGCCGTTGACGGTGCTGATGGTCAGGTTCCTGAGGCCGGTAGCTGTGGTGTCCGTCCGTGAGCCGGTGATGGATTCCGTCTTGCCCTCGGCGGCCAGGGCGGCGGCAACTTGCTCTCTAGACCACTCTGTCATCATCTGCTCGCGGTAGGGGTCCGGAAGCTCCAATGACCTGTCAGGAGCCGTCGCCATGGATGAGGAACCGGGACTCATGGGGGTGTTGAGAATAGGTCCCGAAAGCGATCGGCCGGGCGAGGCAGAGGGGCTGTTTGGCGGGAACGAGGTGCTCTCCTCGTAGCCCACGGCAATGCATTGGATCAGGGAGGCCCGGTCATCAAACGGCAAGAGTTCCTCCGTCTCGAGAAGGCTGAGATCCCATTCGGGCTGAGGCGCCGCCACGCCCAGTGGGCCAATTTGGCCAATGGCCAGTGCTGGGACGTGGATGCCGGGCACCCAGAAGCCTTTGCTCTTGCGCCGGGCGACTTCGTTCTCAATCGCCCTGCCCACAGCAGAGCCCTCAAACTCAAACTTATCGGTCAGGGCCCAAAAGTACCCGTGGCACAGAGCCGCGATTCGAACCTTGTGGATGGGCTGTTCGACGGCCAAGATCTCCTCCTGGAGGCGGTAAATCATGGGCACGCCGTAGCGGACGGCATTGACACCGAGACGGGACACGAGCTTTGCCAGCAGTGTGTGGAGTGCGGCAAGATCATTGTCGCACTCGACAAAGTGGAGGGCGTTGTCGTAGATGGCGAGGTGAAGCTGCGGGAGGAACTGCGAACGGCGAGTCCTGGGCTGGCGGTCCTTGTTCGACGCGCTGGATACGGCACGCCGGCCGTTGGGCAACTCACGAGTATTCTTGGCGGCGGCGAGGATGCCTGCCGCCGTGGACTTGTGCGGCTCAAGCGCCTCGTCCCTAGCGAGCAAATCGATGGGAGTCGTCTCCAGATCCAGCCATGTAAGCAAGGCATCGACATATCCGCGCCGCACCTGGCCCGAAGGATCGCGGAGAAGCCACTGGGTGCCTTCCCAGACTTGGGCGGGCACTCGGTTGCGGCCCAAGTCGGCATTGGTCCTGACCTTGGAAGCGGGATTGGCAACATGGAGGATGATTTTGACGATGCGGAGTGCCGAGATGCGCCCCAAGGTGTAGGAAAAGTAGACGTCGACCAGGTTGTTGGTTTGGCTCTCGGCGAGATCAGCGGTGGCCGTCGCCGAGGGAGGCGAAGGGTTGCTCTGCTCGTTGCCGTCCGTCTTCTCGCCTTGGGGTGTTGAGGGGGCGCTCGACGACCGGCCAGGCTTCAGTCGGCCGACAATGGCAGCAATCATGTCCGAGATCTGATCCGCGTAGTATATGTGGCTGGCAAGATCTCCAACGCACTGCTCAAGTCGTCCCAGGAGCTCCTTGCGTTGGGGCTGGTGTAGCTTCTGCTCCAGGTCGCTGTCCGTCGCCGCCTTGTCGCTGGGAGTCTCGGCTCGGCTCCCGACGTTGGAAAGAGTAAAGAGCTTCCTGATCTGCTTAATAAGACCCAAAAGGACATCCATGACACTCAAGCCAATGAGGTTGATGTCGGACCTCAACAGAGAATCAACCATGGCAGTCAATGCTACATGTTGGTCTAGGTTTTCGTCTCCCATGGGAATGTGTGTCAAGGTATCGAGGGCCATCACCAAGATGACATAGCGATCCTGCACCGGAGCCCAGCGAGCAATGATGCTAAAGATTTTGATGGCCCAGCCCTCGTCGCTGCCATGGTCGGCGGCGCCGCTCGTCATGACCTTTTCTCCCTGCTTTACGCGCTCCGAGATGAATTTAAGCAGGGCAGCTGTCGCCGAGTGGATCTGCGATCGGGAGGGCACAACGAAGATGCTCTTAAGGCACTGCAGCGCCAAGACGCCAGTGTCCTCTTCGGCCATCTTGTCCGCGTCCATGGCGGTTCCGGAGATGGCAAGCGGGTTCGCATCGCCGCCAGCTTCGCCATTTTGGACCGTGGCAACGCTCGTCCTGCGTCGCAGAAGCTTCTCCGTGTCCACCTTTTCCTCCGCCTCGACGCGCTCCAGGAGCAGGTCGAGCAGCGTCTCATCGTCGGTCCATAGGTTCTCCAAAATCATGGGCACAATGACGTCGATCTGGCGGCCGCTCACGGAAGAAAGGGCATCCGAGGTCGAAATACACTTGATGGCGCCCAACCCAGCGTTCCTCCACCGCATCTGGACCGGCCGGCTCGCAGCGTTTTGGTTTGGCGAGTTTCGGGTCGACGCAAGCTGCGCGTAGGATCGAACGACGGACACGTAATGGCTGAGATATGCCTGGTCGGCAAAGAGGGACGACGGATCGTGGTGTTCGCAAAAGGCCTCCCATGTGGGCAGCGAGGATTCGATCATGGTGATGTCGTTGGACCGGAGGATGAGGTCGAGGATCTTGAGGATGCACGGCGCGATGAGGGCGGCATCCTTGGGCGACTTCTCGACGAGGGCGGCGAGGATACCAAGAGTCACCTGTACGTTACTGCACGAGAAGCAGGGGCAATGCCGCCGCAGTCAGCTTTCAACGCTTCAAACACCTCAGACACCATCACCAGCATCAAAACCACGGCCATCGCCACCGAGGGGTTTGGAGGCGGATGCCCCGGCAAGGCCCGGACACGGCACGTACCCAATGCGCATTCGCCAGACATCGCTGGCCGTCTTCTTCTCCAGAAAGGCGCCAATCTTTTGAATCTTGGACCGCCGGCTGGTCGCGTAGTAGAGCAGATAGCTCAGCTCGCTGCTGTTTGGCTTGACGTCAACTGCTCCCTTGGTGGTCCGCGGATAGCACTTGAGCACCAGGACCTGATGCTTCGGGCGGCATTTCTGCTGTATGGCGTTCATCGCGCCAGCGACCGAGCGGCTGTTTTTCTTTCTCTTCACTCTGCTCCGGGTAGAGCGAGGCGAGATGGACGGGGGCTCGGAAGGGACCGCGTTTGCGAGGCGGATGAATCTGCTGTTTTTCCCAATCTTTGTTGACGTCGTGTGGTTTCCCGAGCAGGTTTGAGCAGTAGAAAAGCCACGATAGGAGGAAAATGCGTCCCCAGGGAGATTGGCCCTTTGGCCTTGGCCGCCTAGCCGCGCTCCGTACTCCGATAGGTACGAGTGCACCGCAACCCGGCGCTGGAGGGATGCTGTACCCCATACAGCCACTCTACTTGCATTGACGTTGCGGCGGAGGTCTCACCACGCTAGCGCCGAGCCCTTGGAGTACGCAGCCCCCAAGTACCGCAGCAGTACGGGGTACGCAAGGCCGAATCCAGCCCCGTCCAGCCCGCTGTACCTGAATTATTTTGGGGCCCTCCCCCCCTCTGGACAACCTTGAGCCTTGGAAATCTCGTCACAGCTCAACGTCTGGGGTCGCTGTTTCCCTGCCCCAAGACCGCTAAAACCCAAGCCCATGGCGGCCCCCCCCACCTGCAGGCGAACGAGGATTTGATTGATCAGGCTCATTCATTCATGAGCAATCAACAGCACCAGCACGTGAAAGCCCAGATCCAGGCACATTACGCGTACATGCAACCGGGGTTTGGCCTTGTGAACCATTGGCCGTCATTGCGATTACTCGTATATTGCGCATCAGGTCCTGTGCCCAGCAAATTGTTCCATGCGTCTCTGTGCAGTAGGTACCTAAGCAGCGCCTTAGGTAGACCCAAGTCTAGGGGACCAGCTGCATTATTTTTGATGTGATACGTCACGCCGCTTCCGTCATCCCCAGCGGGAGTGCCCCCCCGATCTGGCACATGTTTTTGGATGAGACATTTGAAAGCCGCCTGTGGCTGCATCCAGTGTTGGCATAGCGGTCATCCTTCAGCGGTCTCTGGCGCTGTCGATGCTTGTGGTTAAGCCCAGCCGTCTCACAACATCCATCCAGGTCGCTAATCTGCTGACTACAGGTACTAGTACAGCGCTTAGGCTAATCGCTGGCTCGAGGGGGATGCTCGTCAAATACGAACCAAGTCGGTATGCGCTCTGATACAGCACAGGCTAACGAAAGTAAAATATAACAAGACACACCAATTCACGGAGGTACTCATTGGCGTAATCTACAAATAACCTTTTTCGTAGTACATCTACCCCGTGTACTCCATACCTATCCGGGTGCCATATCGCTCCTCCATGTATCATGTCAGTCTCGGGTCATGCGCTTCGCCTCACTTACCCTGCATATTCCATGTGATGCATCGCCGCCTCTTGTAAATAGTCGTTCAACTCATGGACACGGAAAAAAAAAGATTGGGAATGCCGTCAGGTGACGTAATCATGTTTGCTCCGAGAAATCCCAACAAAACGAGGAAACTCTTTGTGTCTCGCGATGCATCATGTTCGTGAGGGATCAGCCGTCGTACATACATACAGCGATAGCTCCACAGGCCTTCGCCTCGGGGGACCGTCATGAACAAACTTCCAAGGCTCCAATGCCAATATGCGGCAATGCTGTAGGTGTACCTAAGCTAAGGAGCTCTAGCTGCCACAGCTTAGTGAGATCCATCATCGTGGCTGTTGCCACCACACCAAGGCTCAAAAGAGACAAAGTGTCCCAGGCATCTCGTCATCCATTCAGAGCAGCCGTCGCTTTGCCTTGCAGTATGAAGTGGCTAACCTGAATCCAACGAGGTTGGCCGGCCAAGGACCAAAGCTGGATAGCCTAATATGCATGGACTCGTACGGCAAAGTCACTTAGCGAACAGCCGAGGGGACGCGGGAAGATGCTTCGCGTCCTGAACTTTGAAAACGTCTCATGCAATCATCATAATCACTCAAATCTTCTCAATATATATATCGATATGTCGAATTGTTTTGCTTGCCATCTGCCACGTGAGGCCGAGAAAAAGAAACGAGAAAAAAAAAACTGACAAGAGACGTTTGTCTAACCACCGATACATTATGACCCTCAACGCCTGCTTTCCTACATTTATGCCACAGATGCAATGACAAGAGCCGCCACGCCTTCCTCCTCGCCTCGGACTGTAATCTTTGTCGTAACACCGGATTTTGACGAGTATGCCATGCGAATGTTGGCCACCACTCTGCCGCCGTTGACCGTCTTGCCCAGTAGCTTGAGCGTGTGCGTGCTCTGGTTGACGGGGACATCGGTTCCTTCGAGGGGCTGCAGGGACAGAATCTTGGCCAACTGCTCGGTTGCCTCTGTTGTCTCATCATTAGCATGACAGGGAGAAAAAGAAACGAGAATAGGGGGTATGTAGAATGATGTAGCAAGATACTGGGACAAAGGGGCTTACCGGCTATGCTCTTCATACTGCTTAGCTGCAGCGTCTCTTCCGCCTCTTCTCCTGAAGCACCAACCTGCTCCCAAATATGGTTGAAGTTGCCAGCATATGTGGGGATGACATAGTCGCTGCCGCTGAGGTCAAACTCTGACACCTCGTACTCGTCGTCGTAACCCGTCTCTTCGGGCTCGCCCGTTGAGGGATCAATCTCCTTGCTTGTAAACTTGAGCACGTTGGAGAATGTGGAAACGGGCAGTGACGTCTGGCCATTGACCTTCTTGAAAGCGACGTAAACCTTGCCCGGCTCGTTTGTGGCCAGCTTCTCGGCCTGGAGGATGAATACCTCCTCCAGGTCCTCCTCGTCTGCAGGAGATGCTACAACTGACACATTTTCCAGGACTGTGTCGGGAAGGGTATTCTTGACCTCGTACTGCAGCACAATGTGCTCGTTGAAAATGTGCTTGACTACGCTGACGACGTATTCAGTCTCGGCCTCGGTAAGCTCAACGACGGGCGATGACTTGACCACGCTGCCAAACTCCTTCATTTCGGGGATCTGCATCAGCTCCTGCGCGTATCGCTGTGCCTGTGCGCTGGCAGAGGCCGCAGCCTCCGCACCGCTTGTCGGCGTCTTGGCTGGGCCAGCCTTTGGCGCCTTCAATGTGGGAGTTGAAGCGGTAAGCTTCTTGGTCCTGTCCTCGGCATCTGCCTGCTCTCGGGTCACAACGGGGATCTTGGAGATGTCAAACGGCACGTCGAACGCAGATTTATCATCTGACGTGACATAGAGAACCAGCTGGTGCTCGAAGAAGGGAAGCGAGAACATGTTGTCTGTGGAATTGAACGTGTCAGCAGCTGCGGGCCATCGTTGTTCATGCTATATAGAGAAGAAGAGAAGAGAAACTCACCGTTCTTGACAAAGTTTCGGGCCATCTCGTCATCCTCTTCGGCCATCAGCTTCAGGTTCAAGGCGGCTCGATCTCGAACCTCGTCATCGACATCGTCTAGACAACGCGTGAGCAGAACCTTGACGCTGCTCTTGACGTCGGGATCCTTCTGGCCAACGCCGAACTTGGCAAGAGCCGTGACAGCAGCGGCGCGGACAATGGCATTCTCGAGGACGACGCGGTTGTAGATGTAACGAATGTACTTGGTGGGCTGAGCGGTTTTGGGACCTTCGAGACCGATGAGGTGCAGGATGCGGACGGCAAGCTTGGTGAACTCGCAGTCTTCAATGAACTCGCACAGGTGGGCAAGCGCATCCTCCTTGGAGTCGGGGACGAACTTGATCAGATCGAACATGCTCTCCACAACGGCGCGCTTGAACTCGTAGCCACCCTCGTCGCGCAGGATGCCGCTGAGGAATGTCAGCATGCCAGCCTGCTTGCTGGGGAACTTCAAGCACAAGGTGCGGATGGCTTCGACAATGGTGATCTTGAACTCGTCGGTGATCTCCGACATGAAGCCCGAAATCTGCTTCATCAGCCTGTCGACGCTGGCCTCGTTACCAGTCTTGAGCAGGGTGGTAATGGCAAAGGTGGCAATGGACCGGTTGGAGTTTGAGATGAGGAGCTCAATGTCAGTGTTGCAGACGCTGACTGCGTTGGGGTTGAAGGAGGCGAAGCTGTGGAGGATTCGCAGGGCGGCAAACTTGGTGACGGCGCGGGGCGAGGTCAGGAACAGCTGCAGGACATGGACGGCCTGGTTGACCTCGGCGTCGGTGACGTCGCGCATGTCGCAGATGGCCTTGGCGGCTTCAAAGTTGACCATTTCGCTCTTGTGTCGCAGCCAGCCGTCGAGAAGCTGCATCATGGGGCGGCGAAGCGAGGGGTCCTCCTCTGCAAGCTGCGCGGCCAGTCGGACCAGCATCACAGTGGCAGCGGGGCTCTTGACGGCCCCGGCAGCGCCGAACTGCTGAACCATTTTGACCAGGGCCATGCGGTCGTGCGAGCGCATCTGATACAAGAGGCCAATGGCATGGTACTGAGCCATTGTCGAGCTGTTCATGGGCAGGGAGCCGCCGGAAGTAGAGAAGCCAAGAGAAAAGCCACCAGAGGACTTGGAGGAGGCGGCCGCCTCCTGAGTCTCACTCTGCCATCGTCGCACGACATCTCTAGCAATCGGCAGCAGGTGGTAGGATGAAACAAGCGCCGCAGAGGAGACGGACGGGTTCTTGTCCACAATGGCGGTTTTCATGACACGCTCAATGGCTTGCACCGTGGTGGCCTATGTCGCCGAGCTCACTGTTAGCAACTCGCGGTCAAAAGAGCTTCCAAGGGCGCAGCAAGAAACACGTACGTCGATGATTCGGCACAGAGCACGGATGGCATTGGGCCTGTAGATTGCGTCGCTGCTGCCGCCGGTGTCCTTCATGACGGTGCTAGTCACCATGATTATGTCCTCGGCGGAATTGGCCAGCTCCTTGATGATGAGGAGCACCATCTGCCGCAGGCTGGCGTCCTTGTTCTGGAAGAGCTTGGAGATGCCGAAGAAGAGGGTGGTGGCTTCATTTTTGGGGAACGACTCGCCCGTGTAGAGGAGAAGGGCGATCTTGGTCAGGAGGATGCGGCATCGTCGAGGCTGGATCGGAGAGCTGTTGAACAATCGTGCTGTGTGCCGCCGAGTTTAGCTTGGAGCTTGGCCACTCTGCCCAAAGGCAGACGGTGGGGGATTGGAGGTGGGAGTGAGGCCAAGTGAAGAGGTGCAGGCGCATTTGCAGCGGAATTGTTACCTTCTTGGAAGACTTGTGTCCGGTCTACCTTGACCAGCCCCAGGTCGGCATCCTCGTCCTTTTTCCCGTAACTCATCGTGGGCGATTTGGTCGGAGAGGATGTTTTGGTGATTGGAGTCGTGGCGGTTTGGGCCAATGTCCCAGTAGAGCCACGTTAAGGCTCAGGGATGAGAGACGATCGTGCATTGTCACGTGATGCCGAAGCGCCTTGCCGAAGATGGTCCGCCGGGGGCTTACTTGTACAAGAGAAGAGGTACTCGTACAATGAATGATGAATAATACTGGAATTGGGTTTCTTCTAGTGGTAGGTATGAATGGATTGTTGAGTAGCTGTCTATTTACTCCGAATCTGTGGGTTCGATGGTATAGTAGCAAGTCAGACTGTGAATAATTGCACGTGGAAGCACATCCATGGCTGGTTACCCGCATGGACCCTTTTGCGCTTCAGTGCAATGACCAAGGTACCAAGGTACAAGAGGTACTGGTAGCTGTCGTGACGGATCACCGTCATAGCATAGAACGTTCCACCTCTCGATAATCCTCCGTTATTTATTTGAATTGACTGTAGAGAAATCCATGCATCACATCAAACATTCCATCTTGTCAATCCCTTCATCTTCTCCAATCTCTTCTTCATCCATCTCATATTGACTCATCCAGGATCCACCAACCCCTCGGTGAGGCGACAAAAAAGAACACCCAGCACTCACCGACCGCCATTCCCCAATTATATCCCCTAAAGGCTGACATCATTCGCTGCTAGCAAAACCGAGTACTGATCCTCTCCAGGTACCAGCGAATTTTCCATCCCCTCCAACAAACAACAACCTCCCTCCCTCTCCCCGTCGCTCTTCTTCTTTTCTGCATTCCGCTTGCATTTCCCTCTTGTTTCTTCATCGACATCCACAGCGATGAAAGTGCCTACGCGAATACCCCGCCAGCTGGCATTGCCTCGCCCGCAATTCGTCCGGCCCTTTCATCAAAGCATCGCCAGAGCCGCCAATGTCGCTCCGATAGTCGGCACTGGACCTCCCCCGGATCCTCCCACGCCGGCAGCCCGAAACGCTCAGGAACGTTTGGAGCGGCGGAAGAAGCACGCTGAGCTGTTGAAGACGGCCAAGGAAGTGCGGAGCGCGCAGGACGGCAAGTCGAGCGGCGTGGCTAGGAGATTCTGGAAGGAGGTGACTGTACGAGAGGTTGATGGTACGTCGCTTGACGAAGTGTCGCAATGAACGCTCGCGGCCCATTTCCGCTCTAGATTTATCGGCATCAATCTAATGTCGTTGGTTCATAGGAGCATTGCAAGTCCATCTCGACGCCCGGCCCTTGCGACACCCCAATACCAAGGCTATTATCCGAGTGCCGCTCTCCAAGCCGAACCTGGCCTCTGCGCTGGCCCTCGAATGGGACATCCTGACGTCTACCCAGCAAGCTACCAAGCAGCACCTCATCCCACTCACCAGTCTCGTCTGCCGTGCTCTCGACATTCTCGACGATGACGCTTCCAACGCGCCCGAAGCCACAAAGATCCGCACAGCCATCACCCATACTGTCCTGCGGTATCTGGATACAGACTCGCTGCTGTGCTGGGCGCCTCCCGCGGGCCCTCATGATAGGAGAAATGACGCCGGGGAGAGCCTGAGGGACGTGCAGAAGAAGGCTGCGGAGGAGACAGTCAGCTATCTGACGACCAACGTGTGGCCGGGCGTCACCATCGAACCCGTGCTGGATGGCCACTCCATCATGCCGAGGAAACAGAGCGAGGGCGTCCGAGAGGTCATTCAGGGATGGATCATGGGCCTCGATGCCTGGGAGATTGCCGGACTGGAAAGGGCAGTGCTTGCCGGCAAGAGCTTTGTCGCCGCAGCAAGAGTTGTCGCCGAATGGAGCGAGGGCTCCGTGGGCACTGGCCATGCCGTGCCAGTAGGACGCTTCAGCGTTGAACATGCCTCCAAGGCTACGAGCTTGGAGGTGGATTGGCAGGCCGAGCAATGGGGCGAGGTGGAAGACACGCACGACGTGAACCAGGAAGACGTGAAGCGGCAGCTGGGCAGTGTGGTTCTGCTCGTATCAGGCACTGGTAAGCAGCATTACTGAGAGACGGATCGAGAAGAGAGGGCAGAGCGAATTGAAGCATGGCATGGCACTGGCACTGGCATCGTATGACACGGCATAGCAAGTAAATGGTCCTGATGGGTGGAAGAGGCAAAACTGCACGACGCGGGAAATGTACAACAAGCAATAGAACATAAAACAAATTCCAAATAAATAAAGCACCTAGATACACACTTGGCAATTGCCGGTAGGCAATTGCAAACCATTATAGATACATTTTGTCCTCTGTATCTGCTGCCACAAGGGGCTTTCATTTGTTGTTCATTTTTTTTTCTGTTTTTCTGTTTTTCTGCCCTTTTTTTCTTCTTTTTCTTTTCCTTCCTTCTTCTCTTTTTCCTTCCCTTCCCTTTCCTTCCCTTCTCTTTGTCAATCTCGTATTCTTTACCCATCCCTCTCTTTTCATCCCCTTACCTTCTCACCCACCCATACGTTGGGAACGGGCCTCAATCAAATCATCAGGTTTTCACTCTTGAGCCCATGCATGTCCTCAGCTCTGCTTGTTGGAAGCGACAAATGGGTCTTCATCAGGGTTATAATATGCAAATCCCTTAGTAGATGGCTGGTAAAATACCTGTGTCTCCATTCCACTGCCATCAACGTCCTCAATGTTGCCATAATTAGCAAGATTGGGATCGGATGTTGACAGACTGGCCGTTGTTCTAGAAGACGCAGGTGTTAAGTTGTACGCCGACATATCTGGCCACACTGCTCCATTGAGATTCGCGGATTCTTCGGTGTAAAGAGTTGCGTTGGGGTCGGAGAATGCCGTATAGGGACCTGTGTATGGAGCCGGCGCAACACACGAAGAAGTTGTGGTTGGAGCCGTATTCGAGTGCGTACCGTCATTGTGAAGAAAGGTAGCAGGCTCTGAAGAAGTTGCATATGAATTCGTATTCCAGTGTGAAGAGGTAGCATAAGGTGCTATGGTATACTCTGAAAGAGCTGCAGGTGGAACGGCAATCGAGTTTGAAGCAGCAGTATAGGAACCGTCGGCAGACGCCGGAGCAGCAGGAATAATCATGTTTGAATCCCAGGGGAACGGGAAAGGGCCGCTTCCTGAGCTGGCAGATACCGGATAGACACCAGAAGCCGGAGCATTGAAGGGTGGGACTGCACCCGACGTCGAAGGAACTATATATGGAACTGTATTAACACCCGATGAAGTCGTAAACCGAGGAACGATGCTCGCGTTCGGCAGTGGAGCATAAGCAATCGTATTATAGTTTGTAAAATTTGCATTGGCAACTGCTCCAGATCCCGAAGAAACCATTTCATTCGAGGCCGAGGACATGGTGGTGAAACTTGCAGAAGAAGCTGACGCTGTGAAAGGAGCCGCATTCAAGCTCGAAGGAGCTGTATATGGAAACACACTCGAACTCGGAGTTGGCTGTAAAGCCTGTGATGGAGCTCTGCTGTCTGAATTGGGATACACTGGATGTGAAGTCCCTGCGGGATCCGGAAATGGTGAGCGGGGATTCACAGACGGCGAATAGGGGATCCCATGAAAGGTCCAGGTGACAGCGGGTTTTGGGAGTTTGAGCTGGAGGTAACCATGGTCGTTTTTAAGCACACGGGCTCCAGTAATGCGCTTGTTTATACCCCATAGGTACCGAAGAGCGTTTTTGTGAAAGGGGTTGTTCGCGGCGTCGAAGCCGAGCATATGTTGACAAGAGTCCCAGGCTTTCTTGACAGACTCTACCTGGACGTGTGACCACAACGTTGCGGATGTCTGAGCCATGACGAGGACGAGGCCTGCTGTGCTAGTATCTGTTGTTCCGTCCAAGTTAGCTGTCTGCCGATGCGGGCATATCAAGAGCTGGGAGAGACAGGCTCACGGTATGGACTCCACCACCACTCTCTGTTGCTCTTTATCTCGACTATGAATCTCTTGTAGAGGAAATCGATCAAACCCGTGGCGGTGTTGACGCAGCTCATTGCATACGTGAGAGTCTTATCCTTGACGACAGGGTCGATCTTGTGTGTTATCGACTTTGGTTCAATGTATCCGTCTATGCCGACACGCATGAGTATCGGCCGAAAGAGCATGGCGCGCAAGTGCATGAAGCTTTTGTATACGTAGCGTATGTTAGTCAAAACTGTCTGTCATGCCCACCAATTCCCAACGCTGCAGTATGCTTACTTGGCATTTGAGGTTGCCTTTGGCTCATTAAAATTGCCAATGCGGACGTAATCGTCTGGTAAGCCCGAGATACCCCAACCGAGCTCCTCGGGTAGTGACTTGATGAATTCGTGGAGCTTTTCGTGTAGTATGGGAATAATGTCGTCATATTGATTATATTGGCCGTCTGGAAATCGTTCCAATGTTGGCTCACGAGTTTTGCGAATGTTCCCCAGAATCGTTTCCAACTCTTCTGCGTAAATGACGCATTTGATGAAGAAGTTGAACTCTACGCTGCCGGCGGGAGATTGATAGCGACGGGTGGCGAGCGGGGACTTGCTCATGCCGGAGTTTATGGGCAAATCAGAGTTTCTTGTTTGAGAAAACCTGAAGACAGAGGCGGATTAGCAAGACTTTAACTGGCGAAAAGTACATGGAGAATGAAAGGAGAAAGAAGATGCCTACAGATTCATCATTACACATCCGTACCAAGCCTGTCTATCGGCATCATGAACACCTTCTGCAGCGGCTGTAGGCAGGTTCTTTTCGTCGTCGATTCCCAAATTTTGTGCAATACGATAGGCCAACTCGGCAGGAATTTTCCTTTCCTTCCCCTGAACATTGGAGCTGTTGAGAGCCACGGCAATGATGAGCTGGGTTTGTACGGCTGCCAGGCAGCTCGTCTTGAGAAGTTCCTCCGTCATGAAGAACTTTGCGCACTTCCAGAAAACGCGGGAAGCAAACACCTTGTCTTCTTGCTCTAGATTCGAAAAGTAGACAGCGTGCCAGAGGATCATGAAGAGAGAGCATTGAAATAAAGGTGTGGTGGGGTTGGACTCGTCTGAGCAACCGAGGCCAAGAAAGGCAGATGAGACATCCGACTTGGTGATGAGCATGAAGAACTTCATCACAGCTTCCGCAAATTGGTTCATGTTGAAAAACGGATAGGTAAAGTAGACCTCGTGGCGGTATATTTTGAGGAGATAGATGGACAAGCTTCGAGGTGGCATGAAGAAGTGTGAAGTAGAGGAAATGGGAGGATTCGTAGCGAGTGCCTCCAAGTGAATGAGTTCTTTTTGAGTTATTGGATCCAGCTTCATGGGAATACCGTCTGCCGCTCTGGATGTATAGCAGTAGCTGGTCTGGATAATATACAAGTAATTTCCGGCGTTGGTAGGTGGGGGTCCATACGCCTTGAGATGAGCTTCCATCTGAGGATTTTCCGATTTGAGGGCGGCTGAAAGACTCTTGAATAATGCACAGTCCATGGTTACCTGGGGATTCACGGCAGCAAGGGCGTCCATGGCTGCCGGAAGACTTGTGCATGTTGGGCCACTAACGGCCGAAGAGCTCTCGTTCACTGGCATATTTGTGAGTGCCGGACCTGTGAATACTGGAAGAGTTGTTTCTGGCGTGGCACTCACGAATGACTGGGGATCACTATCGACAACTGGAGAAGTTGTGGCCATCGTCCTACCAATCTCTACAGCGGGAGTCGTGGACGGCGCTGAAACTGTGACTGGAGGAGGGTTGGCTGCGGTTGAGGAACTTGTGGCAGCTGGAGATCCTCCCGATGCTGGGGTATCTTCAGGTGGCGAAGGAAGCATGGGTGCCCCAGCATTCAAGGCCGGCTGTTGCCTTGGACGTGCTGCTGGTGGAGGTCTCTTCCTCATTCGGAGGGTGGCCTTTCTCCTTGGATGGATCATTGTGACTGGTATGCGAGCTCTCATCATTGGGAAGCCCGTGTCATTAGAATCATCCATTGCGGCAGAGTAAAATTCGGTTACACTCATGCCTTCTGGGGGGACTATGCGACTTGGGCCGGACGTAGCTGACACACAAGGGTCAACCGCTGGAGGAGACATGGACGTTGAAGGACCCATGCTTGTCTGAGGATTTGTAGTCGCTGAGGAGCTCATGGATGATTGGTACATAGCTGCTCGAGAAGGCATGGTTGCTGGAGCTGCAAATGCCGGGGACACCACAGACGAGGCAGAACTCGAGGATCCGGGGAAGCTCGCGTAAAATGCTTCTGGATTCATGGATGCTGGAGCACCCATAGGTACATGTACCGAAGCATGCATGTTGCTTGCCATAGCGGCCATGTGCGTGACCTGGCTCTCGGGTACTGGAGGGCCCATGAGTGTCGAGGAGTCCACGGGCGTCCAGGGAGTTATACTGCTGAGGAGCTCCGATGGGAGTGCCCCAGCAGGGGGACGATCTTGGAAGGAGATGTCCTTCTGAGCTGGCACGGGCACTTCTTCTGCCTTGGACGAATCGTATTCTGCAGCAGCAGCAGCAGCTGTACGCTCATTTGCAACCTCGGGGGGGGCTTCACCCGCGCAGTTGTCATTGCTGCCGCTGCTGGAGTCAATCTCCATGAGATCGTTATCATTGTCTTTCGTGGTCGAGGTACTGTCACAATTACACCAATCAGTCAGCTTCTAGTTCTCAATCTATTCTGGTTTCTCTTGGTTTCTCGAGATGCCCTATCCACAACTTACCGAGTGTCATCGGAACCGCCATCTGCAGCCGTCTTTGAGGGCTGACGCTTTGATACAATGATTGCGCCGCACTCAGCACATGATGGCGTGGGCTCTTCTCGGAGATGGCCACATTTTTGACAAAACTCGATATGAATCCCAGGCTTGGGCTTCGGTCTAAGTCTGCGGGTAGAGTTGGGATCCGGACTGCCCCCGGGCTTTGGTTTCTGGGTATGTGAAACCATGGTCGCTTGATGGCAACTGCCGTCCACCCTGCGCGTTTGTAGCTGTGACGCACGGGTCTGAAGTAGAATTGCAGGTGAGTTTGGAAAGCAGATTGTTAAGGGGATAAGGTAACAGAAACGAGTTTGCCAGGAGCACTGAAGAGGGTACGGGAGAGTGTCTGAAGGATGGAGAAGAAGTTGAGCAACAGACTCGGCGGCGGCTTGCTCTATTTATGGTCGAAATCGAAAGGCCCAAAGAGAGACAGAAAGACAGAAAAGAGCGAGAGAGCGAGGGCGGGAGAGGATGCCATCGAACAACCCGGACAAGGGCCTCCTCTCGATCGCCAACAGGGACACCGCAAATCCTCGATCGAGCTCAGCAAAACCTCGCGGAAGAGCTGTCAAGCAAGGTACTCTAGCTTTGGCGTGCCGAGTCTGAGATGTCTCTGCCGTCTTTTGAGGAGTCCCCTGGCTAGGTAGACGAGGCCCCAACTGAAGCGCCACGATTTGCTGTGATTGTTACGCAAACCCGCCCACGACTCGGCGATAATTGGGCCGCGGCACCGGCCGTGGCTGTATTTTGGCAAGGCAACTGACCGGCATCATCGTACGTGTCTGCCGCGCATGAATCAAAGAGGCTGGGAGCTAAGATTGTCGGTGACGAGAACCGGGTTATGATAGGCGCGTGAACATCACGCCGGGCATTGTAAGCAGGAGCAAAATCTGGGAACAGAGGCTAGAGCGAACCAAAAGCAAACACTTTTAATCCAATAGTAATAAGACATGCATGCGTAGTGTATTCAGGCCGCACGGCTGGTAGGGGGAGGGGGTGGCACATATTTCTCTCTGCTTTTTTCTCTCTCTTGGTTTCACCTGGCAATGGAAAAAGCAAAACAGAGCAGTGGAAGTGAGCCGCCGCCCCGATACCGCACGCACTCGGGCTTTGTACATGGTTGAGGTCCTGCTGCCCACGCCTTCATCTCGGAAGCCGACAACTTGCAAGTTTTTCACTCAGGGATCTTGTGATTAGTGTCTTACCTTGCCTCATAATGTGTGATCTACCTGAGGTATTGTTAGGCGAGAATCGGGACCGAGCTTGTCAAGTACAGTACGGCGAACATGTCATCTGTCAACCAGGTATGCCAGTGTGGTGCCTACAGGCACTCGTCGGATCTACCAGTCCGATAGTTGTGGCGAGCACACTACTCGTACCTACGTGCTGGGGAGGTACCTCAGAGATGGGTAACTTGAAAGGTTGCGGACGTACAGATAATTGTCCGGACAGATAGCCGCCAGAGTTGTGCTAAATGAACATGAAGCCCTGTGACACATGGATCAGCGGCCCTTGTGTTCCCTTCCACCGTAACTTGTTGTGTCTGGGATAGTAATACTCGGGTATAGTATAATTAACATGTGCAACATGGTTAATCTAATCACAACTTGTGGCATATTTCATCTAATTGCCGCGTAGGTTTGTGTATGCCGCGAGGCCATTCCCAAACACGCTGGCCTGATCTTGCAACAAGGACACATAGCTTGCCAAATCCCACATGTTCTTTCTGCCAGATACCATCAAGCTCAAGCTGGAGAGAGACGCAGCGGCGTAGACGAGATATCGAACGGCTCGTTTCCAGACCTCTTGACGGGGTTGACTTTGGGCAGTCTGCCTTGGCGTATTCGCATTATTGAGGTCACCAGGATCAGATGATCTAGGGGCGGCAAGAAAAAGGAAAGACAATAGCTGGGTAGGGGAGGGGAAAACCAACTTACATCATAGTACTTGAAATCCCTGTAGACAGGAAACAGACAGCGATACCAAAAGCTGGGCTGCGAATAGGGATAAGACATGGCGTTGTGCACAACTCCATTCTTGGCCCTATTGTACCAGCTGCCACACCCGGCATAAAATACGGTGCCCTTGAGGTCCGTCTGAGTTTGATCAATGCACTGCTTCTCTGCCTCAAGCTTTACATCAATGGAAGTAGCTTTGCCTTGCAGGATGGGCTTGATCAGTCGAAGAGAGTAGTTGATGCTGGTCTCAGCCGCCATGGTTGTCGAGGTGTGGCCTGTGAGGGTGTTTGGACCTATGGAATAAAAGGTAAGACTAGCTAGAAACAAAGAGGTCAGAGGCGGAATAACTTCTTACCCAGTATCATAAGGAATTGGGGAAGCCGGAGAGGCTGGTCGAGCTGTACGCCCCCGGTCCACCCAGAGAGTTCCAATGCTCCTCGGCCGTCACGCCTCGTCGGCCGACCATGTCAATATTTGTGCAAAATGTATTTGAGTCAAAGCCCGTCGCCAGGACTATGACGTCTACCTCTGTAAAACCATCCCTTGAGCGGATGCCCGTGGGCGTCACCTCCTCAATGGCATCGCTTCGGAGCGTGACGCTCTCAGAGTGCAGGCTCGCCAGGTAACCCATGTCATTTGCGCGCCTCTTGCAGCCAATCTCAAAGTCGGGAATCAGCATCTCATGGTACTTTTTGGGAGCCGTGTCTTTGATGTATTTCGTGGCCTTGGCGGTCAAATCACTGCGGTGCGCGGCACCCGCCTTGTTCATGAAGAAGCCCTTTATGCCCTTTTTACACAGTAGAGACGTAGTGAATCGAAAAAAGGCAAGGGCTCCAGGGATATTCATCAACACCCACTGGAACAACTCCGTGTTGGGAGCTGGCATCGGGAGTGATCCAGTGCTTGGACCGCGCAAACTGCGTGACATGCCTCACCTGGTCTTTGATCGCGGGGATAATCTGCGCGGCCGAGCAGCCATTGCCGATGACGGCGACCTTATTGTCAGTCAAGTCGACATCATGCCGCCGTGGAGCCGCGTGGAATACGGGGCCATGAAAGCTTTCGATATTCGGCAGATCCGGCTTGCGAGGATGGACCAGAATGCCCGCTGCGCTGAAGAGAAACTGGCTTTCATGGACATACGGGAGATGTTATTACGAACGGTGATGCTCCAACGACCAGTTTCTTCAACCCACTCGCACCTTTCAACAGTAGAGTTAAAGGTCATTTTGTCACGGAGGCCATATTGGATGGCTGTCTTGTTGAGGTATTGCCAAATCTCTTGGTGGGATGGCAGGGGTGAGGACCACTCGGGATTAGGGGCAAAAGACAGGCTGTTGAGCAGGCTAGGAATATCACAGGCACACCCTTGAGAGGGTTAGTTTGACGGCAGAGCAATGCTAGAAGCGAGGAAGAGAGGCGTTCGTACCTGGATATTGGTTCACTAACCAAGTACCGCCTAGATCATCGTTTTTTCTCAAAGAAACGGACGCCCGAAATGCCGTACCAACGCTTGATGGAGCATCCCAGAGCAATGCCAGAGAATTCAGTGCCGATACAGGCGAACTGGCTGTAGGAGGGTTTGTCCGACGTATTCCAGTTAATCCAACAGCGGGTGTCTTCGTAGTTTGGAACCGGCTTGAATTGATGTCTCAGGTCGGTGGAAAGAGAAAATAGGTAGATGGAGAAAAGGTGGAAGGAGCCGTAAACTTTGTACTCTGTACAGCCGTCCGCAGGTGCTAGAGGTACAGGTATATTCTCCTCCCTCAACAGAGGCCTGTCCGGGGCGCTTTTCAAACCCTCACGCGAAGCAGATGCATGTGCTTAAATACATGTATCCAAAACCCATCGAGCATCACGCCGATGATGAGATCAAGAGGCAAGTTTCCCGGTCTCTTGCTGATGCCATGTACCATGAAGAAGAAGCAAGGAATTTCCCCATTATCAGTTCCTCATTCGTCTCTACATACATGTACCCTCGCTCAGCCTTCTCAGGATTACCTCGGTATAGAGCGATGATCTCGGCTGTATACAGAGAACTTATTCAACCAGGTTCAACAGATTCACCGCGCGTGCTCCCCCCTCTCTGGCAGCAGAAGACGATCACCTTGGTGGTTGCTCGAGATGGTTGTCTTGGCCTCCCTAGATTCGTCGTGTGTGGTCCCCGCCCCGAGCGCAACGCACCGCTTCAGCAGTTAACGCCGGCATCAAGTTGCTGCTTCTGTCTTCTCCCTTGCAGCCGGAAGACAAGGTAAAGGCAAAAGAAAGGAAAAGCGTCTGGTCCTTGCCATTTCGTGAACCGATATCCGCTGTTTCTAGCTCCACGGGCTTCCCAACATGGGCAGAAGCCGCATCGGCGGATCTCACGCCGTCAGCGTCGCGCCGAGATTCCCAAGAGCCTCCATCCGCAGTATGGGAGGAGTTCGAGTACGAGTAAGTTTCCTAGCAAAGCGGGACGGCCCTCGATGCGGAGAAGCCCCAATGGCGGGTCGGATCGATCCAAGCGTGGGAAATCGGTCAAATCAAGATAAACTGCTGACATGCTGCTCTATGATACAGCCCCGTTGCAATGCTGCCACGACCAATGCATTCGTTTCCTAACACCCCTACTGCGTGTATACGAGTGCAGCAAGATTCTTTGCTAACATTACCTACTACTTCGTACTCGTACAATGCCGGCAGAGATACGAGGAGCGTACTGGACTGCTCGTACGGGGATGACCAACTCCCAAAACACTTGACATGGTATAGCAGGGTAGGCATTGATTGAGAGACGCGATGGACTACTTTTCCATTGTCATTTGTGGCTGCCGCAATCTCCGACACAGAACGGAGGTAATGTGCAATGAGAGAAACACAGACTGGGCCACTTTTCATTTGCAGAGGCAAAGCCACGGCGCCTACAAACGGCTAACCGAGGCAACTCGTCACTTTGATATTGGAGGGCCCAAGTGAAGTGGTTGCATCTTTGCTTCTCCATCTCTCTCTCCATCTCTCCATCTCTCCATCTCTCCCTCTCCATCCCTCTCCCTCTCCCTCTCCAACCGGATCCTTGCCATGTGCGTCACGAGACGACTTACAAAGGCAGCCTTCAAAATCACATCTCCCTTGGTCCCCGAGACAAGTGCCGGGGTGCGGAATTATACCAACTACTACCACTATGTACTCCGTATCTTATGCAAAATACTCCATCATGTTGCTGGCTGTTTGTTTGGAGTATCCATTATTGAGGAAAGCCGACAACAGGACCTTGTACTTTGCACACGCCCTGGGTGTGAACCGTGGACAACATGTTGCAATCAAAATGAGCGGGCAATATCCTTGCACGCAGCATTGAATCGAGGCTAGGAGGTTACTACACATCATATTCGCCACGAACGTGCTGGGGGTGCCCATGTCCTCTTTGTTTTTTTTTCCTTCCCTTTTTCTCAGCCTCCGACCGGGTATCTGTTCCCGCCAAGGCCAGGCCGTGTTCCAGCTGGACTCTCTCCCCCTCGGCTCGACCAAGCCGGGCGCTGATGAGCTGAGACAATAGGCGTAAGATTCTGAGTAGATGGAGGATCATGATCCATGTCCCTAATAGCGGTGACCTGGGTAGGCAAGCAGTTTGCAAGCTAGAGCCTCAACCGTATTACTCATACGTGTGATATCCCTGTACTCCCTGCGGATCGACCGTCAGGAAGGCAGTAGTCTTGTTAAGACAGCGTCTCAGCTGCCTTACGGTACCCCAACTTGGTTCTAAACCTTGACGCCTTTCTTATTAACTGGGGAAATTGGACTGGGATCAAGCCCTTGTGATCTTTATTTGGAACTCTCACAATGTTCTCGAGTACTGTCGGCTGGGAATCTTGGGGGGTCTTCCCCTCCCCCCTTGTCTCCCAAAAAATCTAATCTATCATTTTTCCAAAGAACTATACAATATTTTCCAGCACAGTTATCAGCTGGGATTCTGGGGGAGGGGGGGGGGGGATTCCCCCTTCCCTTCCTGCCTGCTTAGGGAAAAAAGAAAAGAAGATAAGAGAAAAGAAATTACGACTTCTCCGTGTTTGGCCCTTTCCCCCGAAAATCCTGAGAGGATTCGACGCACCTCTCTGTAACAAGTAGTGATTTGACGGCATTCTCTATGGTACGGAGCAAAATATGTCTGTCTAGACGAAGAATAGCTGTCGAGGGGATACGTAGCATTCTCATCGATTGCTTCAATGTGACATTTATTTCTCCTAGCTCAATAAGGGATTCGTGAAATTGCCCGAGGATTTGTGCCACCCTGTCGTTCCTCGCCGACTGTCCATTGACCTTGAACGATGTAAGGGAGACCGGCTGGTCCGGGGGCTTTCCCCGGACATTTGCGGTACTATTGCCCTCATCCTCATCCATAGCTAAAGAATTAAGCAGGCGAGTTCTCTTTGTACCCTCTGTGGGAGTGCGGGGGAAGAGCACGCGTTGAGTTCCTAGGTAGACGTAGACATGGACGCCTGTTCTTTGTCATGAAGGAATTTCGGACGCGCCTGGTGGGAGCTATTGCCTCGGCCACTTCCCCCATCTCTGCCTTGAACTTCTCCACGTCCGCCGGGTGATGAAAATTCACAACGTCTTTGATTACATGTATTCTGTCAACAATGTCCCGGAAGGTGTTCAAGGCTTCTTTCGCAATACTGGCGACTCCTACTGCATTGGCAGCAGTCTCTCCTTTTTTCCAAACAATATTTCCATCCGCTTTTCCAAACAATATTTCCATCCGCTCTGTGTATAAGGTATAGGCAACCGGTTGAGATAATAATTCCGTCACTAGGATTATTACCCACGAGTGTTGGGGTATCTGTGCCAAAGGCCACCCTGCGGCGGCAGCTTGGAGTACTTGTAACCTGCTGCTCGGCCATTGACTTGAATCTTCTTCTTAAGTCTCTGGAAGCTGGCATAGCCTTTTCATCTTGGCTAGAGGCGTCTTCGTATTCGGGAGACTCCAACCAGGCTTCTCCGCTCGTCGGTGTTTGTCTCGGGGGAATGCTCGGTGGTTGATTGGTTGGTGAAAACCGCTGTGCTTGATCGAGGGGTCGTTGGGAGACGCGTGCAGGAGTTCCGTAGAAATTCCAAGCGAGCTGGCTTGGGGTGCTATCTGCGTCTATAGTTCGTGCGGTGACTTTCTGTGGTAGGGGAAGGGGGGGAGTGTGATAGAAGGTGTAAATCCCGTCCTTTCAACTCTTCCCGCCTCCCTGTCGTACCCTAGATACATCATTGCCGTGTTGCCGGTATGCGTTGAGATCACTTGAGTTCTCGATTCTCCGCAGCTTGTATAATGCTACCGTACTTTTCATAGTATCTATGCGGGCCGCAGCAATTGGTGAAATGACGAGTAAACGCATCGGGCTGGAAAGCTCGATATTGCTCTTGGTTTCGTAAAAACAAGTCCATAAAACTTTGCCAACACTTGGGTGACTTTGGCAGAACGGAGTGGCAGAGCCTGATCTGCAGCATAAAGGACGGAAACCCGGGGTTTCATGCTATCCACTGTCTACATGTCTTGATAATATATGGTCACCCGCTTGGTACGCGACTGGTTCTCTTGATTTGACCTGTATCCTCCAAGTCGGAGTCTTCTTCGGCTTCGACTTCGTCAGTAAGACGGTTTCGCTTTCGAGGAGCGGGCATATTCATTGTAACACAGTTAATAGAGGCTGATCCGACAGCACTCTCTGTAAATTCTCCATCCTTCCACTCCAAATGACTCTTCTTTCTGCTCCCTGCAGCACATATGGAACATTCTTAGTCGTTGCCAAGCGTCGCTATCATCGGGAGCTCCCCGCGGGCCTGGGAGATTCGTTCAAGGCTTGACGTCGATTGCCGCTCGGAGCGTCGGCGAAAAGTATCGAGATCTCTTGGATTATTTGCTCTCCACAAATTAAATCGTTCAACTGAGCTTTTGAGACAGTCAAATAGATGGTCTTCTCGGCCGTAGAGTTGGAGGGTGCGTATGTATCCTTCTTTGGAAATTTTTGGAGGACTTTTCTGCATCGAAATCTTGTCGTATTATATACGAAAGGGTAACAGGAAATGTTTTTGGAGAAGTCTGGGAAAATCAACAGGCCACGGCGTTTGCTTATACATGTACTTACCTAGCTACTTTCTTCTACTATCGCTATTTTTTTCCCTACTCTCTGGATGGTAGCTGGCGTACCCTTCGATGTTTGAGCAATATTCATGCATGACATAAAGCACGATAGTGGACAGAATCAACTTCCTTGCGGATAATCGTCCAGGAAGCTCGTTGCACGGCTGAAGGATCGATGCGAGGAACTTGGATGCGAGGAACTGCTGCCACCGGAATACCAACTATGCCTATTAATTTTGTAGGAGTGACGTTGACTTTACTCTCTTTTATCAAAGATTCATACATCATTTGCCTAGTACCTAGTAGTTTTGCGACATCTATATCCTGCAACAGGAGGGCCTCTTCGCCGACGTCTTCCCAATACTCTCATAGGATATACGGGTGTTCGACCTGCTTCCGAGCATACATGTATCCTCGCATGCTGGTAATATCTTCCGTGTCTGAGTCGGCCTCTGCTTACGAATCCGCGAAAAAGCGTGATCGTCTCTTTCGAGACGGATTGTATGCATACGCAGAAAGCGTGCGTTGGAGAGACAGAGGCGCCTCTTGCTGCTCTTCTTCAAGCCAGCTGTTACGGAGACCTCCAGAAGAATTGTCTCTCTGCACGACATTCCTCAGCTGAATGCGGAACTGTTCCATGTCTTCAGCGCTGATGTAGTCGACTAATTCTTGCGCAATTTCGAGATCCCTTCCCTCGATTCGCCCTTCGTTCTGTACAACGTGTCTCAACGTATTCATCGCTGCGGTGGCGATGTATGCAACACCAGAAGCATTTGCCGCGCTTTCGCCGTCTTTCCACGCCATATTGCCAACGGCACCTTGCAGCAGGTATGGGCGCTCTTCATCCTCCACCACGATCGCCTGTCTGCGACTGCTGCCTGATCTAGAGGAGGCTGGTTTGGAAGCAGTTGCTTGGGGACGAGTTACGCGTTCCTGTCCAGTCGGAGTGTTGTTACTTTCTTGGCGCTTCTTTGCAATGAATACTCTTTGAGGCTTTCTGTTCGTCACATGTTCTTCTTCACCGGGAGAAGTCTCTTCTGGTTGGGGAAACTCTACCCAAGACACCTCTGTCGCTGCGGTTTGAGAGGTAGTAAGATTCCCTTGGGCAAACTCAGTGTTTTGAGCTTGAATATTCGAGGTGTAGTAGGAATTGTCGTCCACCGTGCCGTTCTCCCAGTCGTATCCTCTCTCGTTGGCATAACGACGGTACTCGGCAAGGTCGCCCGGGTTATCTCTTCGCCATTCGCTGAAACGGGCTACTGAGCTTTTCAGAGCATTGAGTAAATTGTCTTCTTTTCCGTAAAGCTCAAGCGCGCGAATGTATCCTTCTTTCGTTAGTCGCGGTGGATTCTTGTGCAATGGTTGATAAAATGAACGGCGGAATTGAGAGTCTTTTGAGGGATACACGCTGTCCCTCTCGGGTACCAAAAACCTCGGCATCTTCGACCCAGCAGAGGAGGAAACGTTCTGGAGAAGTCTGTGAAAAGTCAAAAGACGACTGTGTGTTTGTTTTACCTAGACATTAGCATGTCCGTTGCCTGGGAACCGTGATTCACCATCATGCGGTGCCAACTGTCAGCGCTGTGCCAGCCGGCGGCCATCTGGTGTAGAGTGGCCGTGTTTTCGCGCCGACATTCCGGTATGCGTTATTATCGATTTGTATATGCAATTGCGAAACAAAAAGGTGTTTCAGTTACCGAGCGTGATGAAGTGAAATCGCGGTGGAAAATGCCTCTGTTGCACCGGAAGCGGTTCATTTGTCGAGAGTTCTGTACTCATTGACGTTTCCCAGCTCAATACAGGGTTGATCTATGCCCTTGGCGATAGGGTAAAGTTGGAGCCTTGACCGCATTATGTATGATATCCCTGTGGTTCTTGTCAATTCATAAAGAAGACGATTGTATTTATTATAGCAGCGATAGTATTGTAATACCGGATACTGGATAAATATTGCGATAGTAGAACAAAGTAGTAATTGTAGAAGAAAGTAGTAATTGTGGAAGAAGGTAGTGATAGTAGCAGAAAGTAGAAGAAACTGCTTAGTAGAACAATGTAGCTAATATATAAGAACGGGGTGCCCATTAGCAAATAACCATGATGCTCCAAGAGATGGGCTTGCCATCCAATTTGCTTGACACTCGAACAAACTTGCTTGGAGTGCTTTTGCAAATCTCTGAAACGAATGAAGACGTAAAGGAAGATGTTCGAAACTTTGCCAACCAAAATGAGAAAATATCGTTTCCAGAGCCAGTTGTTAACGTTACGAATCGGTGTCACGATAAAGACCGGGAGAGTTGGGGTACCCAATGACCCATTGTGACCAGATGGATGACATCTGGGAAGATTACCTCGCCGGCCTAGTGAATATCCTTGGAGAAAACAACGATTAAGCTTTCGACCATGGCCAAACCATCGGGACCCCTCGGCCCTGTTCTACACATGCAGTGGCACTATCCCGTGGATAGTGGGCGTCGTGCAAGCCAAGGTGACAACTGTCAGCACGTACTGGACACCAACAATGAAGGCCTCTTGCAGCAGGCAAGGATTGAAGATTGGTACGCCCGGGAGCGTATCCGTTTCAGACATGATCCCTATCCGCCAGCCTTCCAAGAAACCCAACTAGGAGTTGAAGTTTGGAGTGGACCAATGGCGTCAAGTCGGGGGACTTTCGATTTGGTCAAACTGTTCAATTATATTTATATACACCATACCAGTCGTTATCTCTTTGGAGGATAAGCTAAAGACGGCATTTACACGGACTTCATCTGATTACTGCAGCCAACCTTACCTCTGTGGATGTTCTTTCTCCGGACCTTTTCTCTCGGATGGCGGCTTCGACGCGAATCACCACACGTGGTTGGGAGAACCTTTCTGCGCAGAGAAGAAGGAAAAAGTCCTGAAGCCACCCAACTATAGCGGTATTATTTGGAACAATCTTCAGAAGTTCCCTGCGAAAAAGTTCGGTGCTTCTATGCCTTGACGCCCTTTTCGCCACCGTTTGGTGAGGCCACCTCCTCATCCTCTTCCACAACCTGTTCCTTTTCGTCACTGACACCCATCTCACCGCTCCATCCATGCTCTAGCAAGTAAGCCTTGAATTTTTCGTCTTGTATGGCGAGATCCTCGCCCGTCACGTTGGGTACAAAGAAGTAGGTGACCAAGACACCCACAACACCGCAGATGGCCGCAATAATAAACGTCCACCGTTTACCTAGATTGTTTTGAATCGGAGTAAATGCTTGAGTACCAATTGCTGCACCGCTCTTACCTAGGGCCGCTGAAAGGCCATAGAACGAGCCTCTGACACTTGTTGCATAACTCTCGGCGGACAAGAGACCAAGCATGTCTCCAGGGCCCATGTTGCCACTGCTTTGCATTGCGCCATACATGACCACAAAGAGGGGTGTTATTTTAGTGATTTTGTCGTAAGAACAGCCGATAATGAGTCCAAAAACCAAGTAGCCACTGAAGCCCAGCATCATGGTGTTGCGTCTGCCCAGTCGATCACACAGAAAGGCGCCGAGAAAGACACCGGGAAGGGCAATGGCCCCTAGCAGTAATTGCCACTCTGCCGTGCTCCGTAACGTGTCATTGGTGTCGACCACGGAAGAAAGGATGGTGCCAGAAAAGACTCCGTTGGGAAAGGTGACAAAGTCGTACAGGAACCAGGCGCCACACGTGCCAATCAAAGTCTTCCAGTAGTATCGAATAGCCAGACCATAAGGCACATTCCTCTGGATAGCGCTCTTGCGGTAGAGCTTGGAATTGAGCATCTTGAAACGGAAGTAGAAGACGGAGAGCGGGAGAAGGATGCCGATACCGAAGCATACTCGCCACACCGTCGACAAATGATTCTCACCGGCGGCAGAGAGCACAATCAGGAAGATCGAAACAGCCAAGGGGCCCCCAAAAGATAGAGGTAGGTTCGTCACGAGGATAAAAATTGGTCCTCGTTTATCAAGAGTTCTTTCGTTGGCGGCTTCAGAAGATGATGTGCTTGCAGCAGGATACTCGCCCCCTTGTGCCGTGTTAGTTGCAGTTCTGCCTTGGTTGCTCAAGAGGTTTCCAAAAGAGGAATCTTACCAACACCAAATCCAACAATGCCTCGAGCAACAGTCAACATCCAAAACATGCCATCAATGGTAACTCCATGGGCGGCAGTGGCCAGAATGCCGCCGATGACGATGAGGAGCGTTGTTGCAACGATTGCAGTCTTGCGTCCGAGATAGTCGCACGTCAGACCAATTGTAACCTGCCCTAACACGGCACCGACAAGTAACGAATTGGAAACGCGAGTGCTGACAGTTGAAGTGTACTGCGCAGGATATTCCTTTTTGAAGAGGACGTTGGACATTGTCATGAGGTTGTTCTGGTAGCCATCGGAAATGAGAGCAGCACCGGCTGCGATCTAGACAACGCACCATGCCATGTCAACAATCTGTTCTCGTTTTGAAACATAAAATGCCGAAAGAATCCAACAAGGATATACAGAAGGCAACTTTCGTGAACTCGTGGCGGAAACTCACAATGGTAAAGATGTCGGACAGCGACTGGCGCTTCTTGGACGCGCTGCTTTCAACAACGACAACAGCATCATCTCCGTCTCCTTCAGCTGCGACCACAGCGGACGACTTTTCCGCCTGGCCAAGTTCGGCAGACATTGTGCATGCGGCTCTCTAGAGGCTTTGCTTTTGGTTCGTATGTCGAGTCTGATCGATGGCTTGAACAGTAGCCGGTTGGCCTTGGCCCTCTAACCTCAACAAGTCAGCCTAGGTCACATCGAATTACACGTACGGGTGGTGCCGAGAATATATATGCACGAGCTACACACCTCACCTTTGACCGAGCCGCCGACATCCCATGTTCGCCGCGGTTGATGATTGCAGCGTCGCAACGGACATAGTTTGCTGCCCTTTCTCGTTTCTCTCTTAGCTCCCATTGCCCATGAACTTTTGTTTGCCTCAGAAGCGGTTAAAGACAGACACAAGAGGCTATCGAGAGCCAATACCAAGGAGCTGCTCGCACATGTGATGCCTTGGTGGAGAGAATCCGGCTCATAATTGCCGGACCATCGCCAAGGGGTGTGTGAAGAAGTCGAGATGCACTGTCCACTCGGGGGGAGATTATGTGGAATAATACAGTATCAATTGGGAGTAAGCACTTGTTTAAAGTAGATCGACAAGAGTAGTGGCGCCGACGCCTTCTACATTTGATATCCTGGAAAAAGCACTTAAGCACGTGCGGGGGATTCTTCTGAATGCTTCTTTTTGTGATATCTTTGTGTTGTCGAATATCCTGTCTCGCTGTTCCATCTGAATTGTTTCGTGATTGTGATTTCGACCCAGTAGAGTTGGCAGTGATCTTGTCTAGCAATAAGCATCCTTGATGAATCTGGTATGGATAAAAAGACTAGAAGAAGACGAATTACCGCCATCTACCATGTTTGATAGCGCTACACTGGCAAGACTGGGTACTACCGTTCCCACTCTTTGATCTACTTAGCATGTTGTCCCTTGTACGAGTGGCTGTGGGAGACAACACCATCGATTGTTGCTTCTACACGTGGTTCATCCATGCAAACAGCCTTAACAGCCTCGTGGCAGGCAACAAAGAAACATCTTACTGACAGTTTTCACGACCCATAAAAACATGTAGACCAGAGTCCATATCTGTGGATTGACCACACCACCTTGAGTCACCGAGCACACTATCTGGTCGTTCTGGGCCAATATTGGACAAGACAAGGATGCCTCCCAACCGCCTGTAGATGATAGCTGCTCCCCGCCAACTCAAAGCATCTCCATGCTTTCCTGCCACGTGGGAACGATGCTTCTGACAGCTTGGCTACCGATTCTTCGTATCGTCCTTGTAAATCTCGGGTCCGAGTTACCGAAGCACAAGTTACCCACCTATGCCTTTAGCATTTTGCCCGTCTGGGGATCGACTTCTTGCCGGCCGCGAAAATTGATTCGGAAGTTGACCGTGCCCTCTCGAACAAGTCGGAAGAGCCATTCGGGGCCTCCTCTCTAGAATAAGAAAAGAAATCGGTTAATTCAGGTTTATGTAGCCAAATACGGCGGAGCCTAGATGGAAAGAGAAGAGCGGGTGATGAAGAAGTCGACTCACCAAGGTCATTGCTACTCTGTTGAGGCCAGGCAAATAAAGGATCGACCCATAGCCACTGTACACGGCGTTCACCATCGCCTCGCCCACGGTGTCAACGTTTAGGAACGGCAAGAGAAAGTTTGGCACATTCGTATGGCCGCCGATGAGGGCTGTGCGGATGAAGCAGAACATGCCGAATGTGAGACGTACACGAGGTGCCTTGTGAATGTTTTTGAGTTCTAGTTGAAGGCCCTGATACGCTTATTAGTCCACGAATTCTCTCCCAATAACTAGCAAGCAATCGTCTTGTGGAAATATGTAGCCAAGGATCCCATCTCACCTCATGCAATGCCAACAACCCAGCCTTTGTCGCAGCGTAATCTGCAATCAGGGCTGGTGGCGTCACACAACTCAAGCTTCCCGTGTGTAATATATGTCCGTGGTCCCTCTTAACCATCTCCGGCAGAAACTCCTTGGCAAGAAGCATCGGGGCAATGAGGTTTGTCTTCACGGTGGCCTCGACATCCCCGTACGACCCTTCCATGATGGTTGCTCCGCGAACCAACCCTGCATTGTTGAATAACACCGTAGGATGTCCGACCTCGCTTCTGATGCGTTCACATGCAGACTTTAGAGCACTGGTGTCGCTCAAATCGCACTGGTAATATGAGACGCGAGCCCCTTCTTCTTTAGGTTGCCATTTCAGCGGAGCGTAGTCGACAATGACAATTCGTGTTCTTGGGTTTCGCGCGATGAGTTTCTTGGATATACTGGCGCCGATACCATCACTTCCTCCCGTGACGACGACAATCTCTTCATCCCAGTTCCACGTCTTATCCGATACCCAGTTGTTGGCAAATTGCTTGTCCAAGTAGTCGTTTAGAGACAGAAGAGTGCCGGTGAAAGTCAGTGCGTAGACTGGGAGAAGAAACTTGGTGACGATTGTGTCTGAAGTGTATGCAGCCAAGCCTGATAGAAGTAGAGCTGCCGGTGCTGTGGTAACAGGGTTCAAGAGCCAGCGTCTCAACGGAGCGGCTATGGAGTCAAGAGTAACTCCCTCCCTTGATGTGAACATGGTTTTCTGTATCGGCGAGAGCACAGCTAGATTCTTGTGCTGTTTTCGTTCTCCTGCTCAATTCAGAGTTGAATGATGGGCAATATATGCAAGGTAGCTACACATGTTTCCTCCCCTTCATCATACATGTGGTTGTAGCGGGAAATGGCTCACATGATGTTGAGAATTTCGAAACTATTGACGCCCATTGCGAAACAATGCCACGTCGGCATCAGGCGTACATGCATCTCCCAGCCGTCCATATTCTCCGCATCTGCGCCACGCTGAAGAGACTTGGCTGAAGTGTTACAGTCACTTCCCGTTCTGGTTGTCTGAAGTGTCACAATTACTTCCGCTTTGGCCGTCTGAAGCGGCCGAGCCCCGCTCGTCACTATTCGTGTTGATTAATTGGACAGCAACTTTGTTGGGCTTGGTTGTCATACCCATCTCCCAAGTCTAGGATGAGTGTAATTGGTATGTGCGCGGCTACATATGTAGAAGGCGACAAGTCCATCCATGCAAGACGACCCTGCATGCGTCCGGTGAGGCTAAACAGCCTGCAAGATAAGCCATATGATGATGATATTGGCCAGTGCAGTGTCGGTGAACTGGGACAGAATGCCACGCTGTAAAACACGGCACAGGAGGAGAGAAAACAGGGAAGGACGGTTTTATAAGATGAGCTGGCCGCCGGCTGCTCGGATGGCTTTTCAATGTTTCCATCGCATATACCCTTATTGAGTTGTTTAGTTGTGTACTCGTATGTCGACATAGTTGTGCAGTTGAGCACTGGCAACCACAATATCCACTTTCGATGGTAGGCCAGAATTAATCTTTTGTCTGGCATTGCGTATGTGTCTCGCTGACATACATTCGAAACACAAATCTAGGCCAACGACGTCAAGCCTCGCCTCTCCATTGGCGAGAAGCTGAAGCTAGTCGGGGTTTTGCTGTTTGTCGGTGAGTCCTTGTCGATCAAGGGAAATATATGGCCGGTATTCTTTCGACTGACGAAAGATGCCTTCGCTTAGCCCCCTGTATGCTCGCAATCGTTGGCGCACAGGCGCTTTTGTTCGCCATCCGGAACAAGCTGGATATTCGGATGTATCTTTTGAGTGCTGGTGTCAGAGTTCTCTTCAGCACCTTTACGGCTCGTGAAATACAAACCTTGCTTTCACCTACCGAAGACGTATACAGAGCATGGATTCAGCGAAAAGAGAGGCTTACCAAGGACCCAGCGCTCAAAGAACGACTCCAATGCGATATACAGTCTCTCCCTGATGGCAACTCACGCATTCTCTGGGTTGGAAACCGTCACAAAGCCCGCAAGGTGGTACTCTTTCTCCATGGCGGAGGATATATCATGCCGAGCCAAGCAGGACACTTTGAATGCGTGTGGAATGTCTTCGTTCTCTCTGGGCTAGAGTCAGATACCGAGGTAGCCGTGGCCTTTTTACAGTATTCCCTGGCCCCCGCTTCGAAAGTTCCCGTACAACTCTTCCAGGCCGCATCTGCTCTCTCGGAGATTCTCAAAGCAGGCTTCAGCGCCAAAGATATCGTCATTGCCGGCGACTCTGCTGGTGGCAATCTCACCATGCAAACCCTCAGGCATTTGGCTGAGCCTCATCCTGAAGCTTGCCATATCGCATTAGATGAGCCTCTGTCGGCTGCTGTCTTGATATCGCCGTGGCTCAGTTCAGAGTACTCTAGCTCCTCATGTCTAGAAAACGACAGCAGTGACATGCTCTCGAGATCCGTCATGCGCTCACTTACGGCATATGCCACCGGCTATGAAGAGCAGAGCGACTCGGACGATGCAGACAGCTGGGCGAAGCCGCTTGAGTGCAGAGGGGCTTGGATAGGCAAGCTCAACAGTGCCGTCAGGAAGATTCACATGACTGTTGGTGGAAAGGAGATTCTGGCCGATCAGGCAAGGTCAATGGGGAAGGCCATCGAAGCCACGAAGACGGGTGTCCAAGTAACGTTGGAGAGCCACCCAAACGCGGCCCATGACTTTATTATAGCCGAAGCAATACTCGAACAAGTCGGTGAGGCGACGATAAAGATGAAGCAGTGGTTCAAGGGAGTGCTATAAGCAATGGAGGTTTAGCATTATCCCTTAAAAATGTGCTTAAAGTGAGAAGGAACCGGGCCATAGTCCTATGCAATACTCCCCTCCGGCGCTGGGGACATTTCAAATTGACGAGCATTAATCGAGCTAATATTTACGGCCATACACAATGGAATGATGCGGCCTAGAATGACACATATGTTGAAGGAATTCCTCGAAGCGCCATTGTGATGAATGAGGAAATCAGACTGGCGTCATTATGAATCAAAAGTGAGCAGTCACGTTGGTGGAGATGATTTGATTCGAATACGAAGCCAATTAAGTAGCGGAAAGTGCCTGATTAATGAGAGTTTGTATGCTGCAGCTTGAGAAGCGAATAGAGGGAAGAGGAAGGCGAGAATGAGATGAAGATTCAACGCTGCAGGTGTTCGTTCCAACTTGCCAGGAACTCTAAGCTGCGCCATCCACGTCATCACCGTTGTTTGAAATAATGTGAGATGTGATTTACTGAGAGAAAATTCATAGGACTGTTCTATACCTATTCAATATAGGTAGGCAGACGTCGTATCACAATCCATGGCAATTTATTCGCCCATCCATTGCTCATATTACCTATGCATCTCGGGAAGGTCAATCTTAGGATGAAATTCTCACTTACGGCAGCCTAGTCGAGTAGTAAGTGACTGCGCTCACGCATGCGTTAAGATTCAGAAATTGGGGATTAGAAAGAAATTCGTTACTCGTCAATATCAAGCCTCCACTCAATTGCAACGTCAGAAATGAAAGACGTGTCAGGAAGAGTTTGCATCCACTGGAGATGATTCCCATCTGGGGCAGGGAAAAGACAGGCTTCGGCCCCCCATTGCTCCTCGCCTCACTCACGTCCAGTCACGCAAATACTTCATACACGACAACAATTGAAGGCCAAGCATCTGAGCCGCCAAATAGTCATCTGATGCTACCTTTCTTTGGGATGGAACGTCTTGGCAGCCAAGCAACGGCTTGCGCGTCCTTGCAAATAATTCGCCGCTCAAGTATCAACTGAGAGCCGTGCGGCTCAGAAACCGCCCGTGAGGCAGCCAAGCCACCGCCACCGTCCTTACAATACGGTGCACTGTGTCTATTGAAGAAGAAATAGCAGAGACTCTGAATCTTGATCAATCTAGCAGCTCATCCTTGCTGTTTCAAAATAGATGAAGATTTGCTGTGGTTGTATAAGTTGAAGAGTAGCGGTATGTACAGGTATGTATGCTGTAAGCACCACCAAGGTGAGATGAAAATTAAGCGGTACTTGTCCTGCCAGAATTCAGTAAGGGAGAGAGCAAAGGTTCTCAGTTTGATCCATAATTAACATCAGCCCCGAGGGCCTTTCCTTGAGGGGTGGAGCGGCATCCCTGCTGGGTTGTGGAACCGATATTGCGGGTAGTCTTGAAGAACACAAAGCTCTCGTGATGATGTTGCTGTCCGTACGGAGTACAAGTGCTGCAAAGTTCTACCTATCTTATACATACCAAGCTGCATCTCCGTCTGTGGCCAACAACTCGCACCTAAAAGATCCCTCGAGGACTCTGTACTAGGGGGGCGCTTCTGGAAACAAGGAGACAGAAATCGTGGGCAGGCTGTAGGAATCTATGACGAGGGAGGCTCTTGAAAGAACTCCATAGGCAGAGCTGGACATCGCCTCTTGGCCTCTTCCCAGGAGATCCGAAACCCCCACAAAACTTCCATTGAACCATGCTTGGTTGGCTGGGGGTCCATAATACTGGCTCAGCACTCCATGCCAGCATAAGCTTTTCTCGTGTATCCTCAACAAGAATGAGCCGAACCTTGACTCTATTGCCAGCACGAGTACAAAGTACTATACGAGTACATGTGGTCAACCACCCAAGTTATCGGCTCGGCTCTCCTGAGAAGGAGTTTTGGCCACCGCTTGATCCGCCTCAATAGCGTCATGTAGCTGAGAACGGGCGCCACAAAGCGGAAAGCTGTGCTTGGCGGCTCGAGTCCAGCGTCGACTAGTGCTTGTCTAGAGATGCGAGAGCTCGTCTAGTGCAGAAGCCGCAACGCTGCGCCGCGCCGCTCCAACCTCAGCTTGGCCAACAGCCTGTCGAGGGAAGCTCTCCAGCCTCATCCACGGCTTGGCTTCTATGGAGCAGCCGGCCCGTAATGGCTGGGAGAAGACAGTCGGAGACGAGGCCAAGGAGCCCATAAAAGGGAAAATGGACGTCTTGTTATGTTCCTCTGCTGTCATCGACCCATGTCGACGTTCCCCCGCTAGTGAGATCGCGCCGAGATCTGTGGTTAATCACTCTGTTGACTTGGTTGCCTTCAGCTGGGACTCGGGTTTCCTCTCTTTTCCTTCTCTAGCTCCCCCCTTCTTCCCTCTCTTGTCTCTCTTCCTACCCGCCGGAGCCGATATCCTCGCGAGCGCAGAGAAACAAAGGGAAGAGACGGAGAGTCGACAGAACCTTCGCACACCATGAGGCCGACGACAGCTCTCGGGCTGCTGATGGCGGCGCAACATGCGGAAGCCGTCGTCACTCCGATGTTCCCGCGGGCGGAATCTGGTGATGGATATTTGTCGATCCCCGTGGGAACCATCAAGAGGCCGCACAACAAGGTTGGAAAGAGAAGCGCCATTGACGCAGTGTTGGAGAATATGGATTTCTTCTATGCCATTGAAAGTGAGTTCTCTTCTCCGTACCGTTAAGCCAATCGCTGCGACCGTCGGCCTTCTACACAACTTTATTTCTTTGTTTCATACTGCCCCATATAAGCTACATAGGTAGAGGCATTGTCTACAATTTCCTTGTCTCAGATACAGCCGCCGCCTCATGGATAAAGCGACAGCTACTGCCACTGCCACTGCTCTCACCAATCGTATGCAGGAAAGATAATTTATACTAATAACCTGTCACCGCTAGTCGGCTTAGGAACTCCTCCCCAGAACGTAACCGTCCTCGTCGATACAGGATCCAGTGAGCTATGGGTCAATCCCGACTGCTCGACCGCACCGTCCGAATCGCAGGCCGAACAGTGTGAGCAGCTCGGCGAATACAATCCCAATAGATCAAGAACGCCGCCGGTTGGTCCGTTTGGGCGCGAGGAAATCAACTATGGTGACCCAACGGACCAGTCCACGCAGACGTCCGTCGACATCACCTACTATGCCGACACGCTGAGCTTTGGCAGGGCTCAAGTCAAGAACCAGACGTTTGGCGTTGTTACGTCCAGCGAGGGCCAGGCGCAGGGCATCATGGGCCTCGCACCCGATGTTCGAGGAGGATTCCCAGGCGACCAGCCGTATAGCTTGCTGCTCAACACCATGGCCGACCAAGGAGTTATCGCCAGCCGGGTCTTTTCCCTTGACCTCCGGCATTCCGAGTCAGAGACGGGAGCCCTCATCTATGGCGGTCTTGATCGCAGCAAATTCATCGGTTCTCTCGAGGCTCGACCCATCGTCCCCGGCATCCAAGGCGAAACACGTCTGGCCGTCAATCTGACTACGCTGGGCCTCACGCAGAGCCGTTCGCAGAGCTTCAGGCTCTCCAGCGCCGACACAAACGTGATGCTCGACTCTGGCACGACGCTCAGCCGCATGCACTCCGCTGCCGCATTGCCTATCCTCGAGGCTCTGGGCGCCCGAAACGATGGCGAGGGCTACTTTTTTGTACCGTGCTCACTTCGTGACTCTGCTGGCAGTGTCGACTTCGGCTTCGGCAACAAGGTCGTCAAGGTTCCCTTCTCTGATTTCATCCTGTCGGCAGGCGATAGTGCGGGCCCCAGCGACTTTTGCTACGTTGGCCTGGTCCTGACGACGGACCAGCAGATTCTGGGAGACACGGTGTTGAGGGCTGGATACTTTGTCTTCGACTGGGACAATCAGGAGGTTCACATCGCCCAGGCCGCTGACTGTGGCAGCAGTGACATTGTTGTCGCCGGCTCGGGAGCCGACGCCGTGCCCAATGTGCAGGGCAATTGCAACGGCAGTGATGCCGATTTCACGGGCACACGAGGTCCAACGGTAAGTGGCAAAACTCAACGGCTTGTCTTGTCCTAAAGCACAAGAATCAGTAACTAATAATCATCTCCACAGGCGACGGGAACGAGCCCGACTCCCACCAACAATATCCCGACCACAGCGGTTACAACTGTCTTCACGGTGACATCCTGCCCAGTTTTCGATGTCGGATGCCGCACCGGCCAGATCACGACCCAAACCATTCGACCAGCTGAAGCTACAACTGAACCTAGCGCCACGAGCAGTCCCAGTGGCAACGGCAATGGGGATGGCGGAGGAGACGAAGATGCTGGTGTGCGGCCTCCGGCCTTGACCTGGGCGTCTGTTGTGCTAGGTGCTTTGGCAATGATGTTGAACATTGTATAATTCCAGGAAGGGTCTCTTATTGTATATATTGACGATGGAGAATGACCGCTGGCCGTCAACTCTGGATAACTCGGCCGAGGATTTACATACCAGGTTCGTACATGACGAAGGAGGGTGGGACATGACTGCACATGGAGGTTTTATTTTCCCAATGGATATTTGACATACATACATGCATACACATGCATCCACTCTTCGACTTGCATTTAATGATAATGACCATGTTACGTGTCGTCGTGCTATGTGGCCCCCCGCGCCCGTTCGAAGCAGCATCACGGTGGTTTCTCCGCTACTAGCATCTTTTGATTGAGGCAGTAGATGCTTCAACCTACAGTCGTCTCGGTCAAGAGAAGTGGGTTGCAAGAGCGATTGACAGGCTTAGCATTGCCTGGGGGTTTCTGGGATTTTCTGACTTGTATTTAAAAGCTTGCAATAGAGAACCAAAGTCTTACAAGTACGGCTAGGTCGGCTATCCCGGCTCAGTCCTGATTGCATCGTCTTCTCGCATTGAGAACACAAACTTGCTTGAATAGGTAATTTTCGCCAGGTCAGCAGGCTGAACGCATCCTCGGCGCCATTGTCATGTACTATCATCACATAAAGTATCACATCTTGTCTGCTGCGGCAACCTCGGACTCTCGGACTTTCGAAGTACCTCTACCGTGGAGGTTGAGTATCGCCTATAGCAGAGCCAATGGGACTACTGCAGCATGACAGGCCTCGGAGCTTAGCTTACCTGCAATCTACGGAGTAGTCTGGGGTAGGGCCGGAGAATACTCCTCCAACCCGCTGGAGGGACTGAGTTGGGGGGAACCGATCACTTAGCTTCATTCTAGACTTGCCATGTGGAGACTTGGGGGGATCGCGTCATTCCTGTTGCTCGTCCTCGTCCTCTGTGTCTTTCTTTTTCTATTGATTGATTAAAGGAACTACCATGTAAGAGTTGGTGTGTTGAATATCAAAATCACGGCATGCGTTGAGGGACGTGCAACATGATGGAGAGTCCCAAGTTATTCGCGTCTTGATATCCCCAGCGTCACACAACATTGAACCCTGCAACAGCCATCCATTCTCTGTGTCTCAAAGCGGTGCTGTCCGCTGCACTAATAACATCCCGTCCCCAGCAGCCGATACCGCCTCCCGAGGTTTTTGTCAATCTGGGCCGGCGCATCTCCACCCCCGATCTACCAAGGTCCTTAATTCAATGCCTAGGCTGTCATGGACAAGGCAGTATATCTCTTGCCTTAGCCCGCGCTGAAGCGCTCCCCGGCTCCCCTCGCTCATTCTTCATTCCTCCTCTCATCGCTGCTTCCCTTCCAATTGTTCACTCTTTTCGTGTTTCGTGTTTCGTGTTTCGTTCGACATATTCGCCATGGTCTTCACACCTCCGTCGTATCTTCCCCAGCTGCCAGGTATGTATGCGCGCTGCATAGATGCGCCCCTCCAACTTCTCAGGCTGACAGCCAAACCCGCGAGACAGATGTTCCGGATTCCATCACGATCGAAGAATTCATGCGAAATGAGCAATACGGCCGGTATCCGGTGGCCAAGGCCAGAAACCCGTACACATGCGGCATCACGGGCACGACGTACGACGCTGCCCAGGTCGCTGAGCGGATAGACCACATGGCTCGCGCAATCAGCAAGCGATTGGGCCTCAATCCTCACGAGGAGACTGAGTGGGAAAGGGTTGTCGCGCTGTACTCGGTCAACACGGTACGCTAGAATCCAGCCACTTTGGCCCTTTGACACGACTCGTTCTCCCCCACCGTCTTGTTCGAAACCGCTTCGATTGTTCAATGGCACGTCTAACGATGCCGTTGCTGCCCTCTGTTACAGATTGACTACATCCCATTTACCCACGCCATCCACCGACTCTCCGGCATTGTCACTCCAGCAAGCGCCGCATACTCGACACAGGAGCTCGAGCACCAGCTTCGCACATCAGGAGCCAAGGCCGTGTTTACCTGCCCTCCTCTTCTCGAGAATGCTCTCAAGGCAGCCACCGCTGTGGGAATTCCCAAGGATCGCATATTCATATTACGCACAGCAAGCTTCGACAACCCCCCTTCGTATGTGACCATTGACGACTTGGTGGCCGAGGGCAAGAGCCTGCCGCCATTGAAGCCTTTGAACTGGGTCAAGGGTCAGGGTGCGAGGCAGACTGCTTACCTGTGCTATTCTAGCGGAACTTCTGGCCTGCCGGTAAGTGAGAAATAGCCATTTTTTTTTTATATATTTTTGATTTCTCCTGGTGCTATGTTCTGCTCCTCAACGCTTAGAAGCGACGCTGACACGACTCGATGATATCCTAAAGAAAGCCGTCATGGTCTCCCACCGCAACGTCATCGCCAACGTTCTCCAAGTTTACTTGCTAGATAGCGTCCCCCGCAAAGAGCTCGGCATTGAATCGCAAGTTTTGCTCGGCGTTCTTCCCTTCTCGCACATATACGCCCTCGTTCTGGTTTCTACCGTTAGCCAGTACCGCGGCGATGAAACCATTGTCTTGCCAAAGTACAACTTCCACGAACTCCTCGATGCTGTCCAGCGCTTCAAGATTGAGCAAATGTTTGTTGTCCCGCCCATGCTCATCCAAATTATCGGCAACCCCAAAAATACTGCCAAATACAACCTCGACAGTGTACGCTTCGTATACTGCGGCGCAGCTCCGCTGGGCCCGGAAGTCGTCGATGCGGTTGCCAAGATGTTTCCCAAATGGCGCATCGGACAAGGCTACGGCATGACTGAATGCTCACCCACCGTCTCCTCGACCAACGAGCTGGACGTCCTCTCTGGCTCTTCAGGCTCTCTTTTACCGGGAAAGAAGGCCAAGGTTATCGATCTCCAAGGCAAGGAGGTGACCGAGTACGACACTCCGGGAGAGTTGTTGATCCAATCCCCCGCCGTTGTGTTGGGGTACCTGAACAACGCAAAGGCCAATGCCGAGACATTTGTTCACCACGAGGATGGCCGGTGGCTGCGAACAGGCGACGAGGTTGTTGTCCGAAAGTCGGCCAAGGGTCACGAGCACATTGTTGTTGTTGACCGAATCAAGGAATTGATCAAGACCAAGGTAAGCTACCAACCTAAGATGCGCAAATCAAGCAAACCCACAACCGCTCGCTCAGCACCTATCACCTTGTATCCCTCTTTTCGTCTCTCTTGAATTCTGCTCACCAAGAATATCAAAATCAGGGTCACCAAGTCGCCCCCGCCGAACTAGAAGCTCATCTCCTCAGCCATCCATACGTCTCCGACTGCGCCATCATCCCAGTCCCCGACTCTTACGCGGGTGAGGTGCCCAAAGCCTTCGTCACCAAATCCACCTCCGACTGCGCTGGCAAATCCAACAAGGACATTGAAGACGCCATCCACAAGCACGTCAAGGACCACAAGGCCAAGCACAAATGGCTCGTCGGCGGAATCGAGTTCATCGACGCTATTCCTAAGAGCCCAAGCGGCAAGATCTTGAGACGCCTATTAAGAGACAAGGAGAAGAAGGCTCGGCAGGCTAAGGGAGCAAAACTATGAGAGGAGAAGCAGCAAGCCACGCCATGTGATGACGAATTTAGAGGTTTTCAAATCTATTTTGGAAAAGACGCGTTTTGTGTAGATGTTTTGCGTTCCTCTGGGCATTGAGCGTGCGTTCAACGCAGGGAGTCCGGCAGTATTGTAAGCCGAAGATTTTGGGGTGCTGTTTTTCCGAAGCAAACGTGCACTTGGAAGCTACAGGTGTTGCATTTGTATTAGAGACGAGTCATGATTAGAAAATGACGAAAGACTATCAAGAGTAGCAGCAAGAGAGTTATGGTAATGATTCTAATTTTCGCTCAAGATGCATTAACTGCCCCATCTTCATGTTCCGTGGCCTCATCTTCCAATAGTCCCTACGTGAATGCCTTATGCTTACAAGTACTGCTATTATTACTGCCTGTATCGAGGTTGCCATTCCTATCAATAGGATGGTAGCGATCCTGCGATAATAATCGTGCCTACCTCCCATGAATTCGTAGATAAGATTGCCGACCCATTAGGAAGTCCGCACGCAAATAGTTTAGTACTTGATACCTTAGCAGTTCCATTACTGTAATAGGTACTATACTTCCACCTAGTAAAAATATGGAGATCCTGATGTCTTGCGATATCCATTGATCAATCATTTGCGCACTATTCCGCAGTCCACCACGGTGCCTAAACGATCCGTATCCGACTCCCCTTCTTTTTCCTTGGCCCCTCGAAGAACCAAGAGACTTGCAACGTCGCACCGTCAAGAGGAGGAGAAAGAACAAACCAGAACCAATACCAGACATCTGAGGAATCGACGGGACACCAGATTCGACCAAGGAAGACATGATGGAGAAAGACACGGGCGAGCAAAATGCTAGAAATATACAGACAGAGCAAATAGCCATCATGCTACAAGAAATGGGCCTACCGCCCAACATGTTCGATCCAGAGACACGAACGAAGAGGCTAAATATGCTGTTCCAGGTATCTTCAACAGGAGATGCTACAAAGCAAGTTATCCGTGATTTCTCGGGTGAATACACTTCTTCCTGAACAGAAAACGTATTCTACATACTGATGTACGTTAGGATTGAGAAAAGAGTATTCCTAGACTCAGCCGTAAATGTGATCAAACGGCAACATAATAAAAGTCGACAATCTTCGCACACGCACTACCCAAAATTGGATAATACTTGGGAGGAATACCTTGCGATCACTAATATCCTTGATGAGGACAATGTCTTTGATCTGTCAAAATTTCGTAGCAAAGCCCTCTACCTTGATAGTAGTCCTTTTGGTACTGCCTTACACATGCAATGGCACTATCCCACGGGCAGCATGTGTTGTCACAACCTACAATTCTGCCATGTTCTTGACCTAGCAAACAGAGGCTTTTCTCATCAGACAAAGAAACTAGGCAGTGATTGGGTACTCGGCGCCCCAAGTTGACGACCCAACATTGTGTCTTGAATCCAAAGGTGGCGGTGATAAGACCAGATTCTTGAAGAGAATAGCGACAGTAGCAGATGGGAGAGAGATAGTAGCAGAAAGGAGAGATAGTAGCAGAAAGGAGCGATAGTAGCAGATGCATACCTAGTAAGAAATTACTATAGGTATCTACTCCCTAGGCAGGTAAACAGATAATGGCTTTCTTTCGCAGTCTGTTCTGTTCTTCGGACTCTATACCCAGTAGATACGCTGTCTCTGGGGTATTGAATAGGTACCTACCTATATTTCAAGACTCCCGATCTCCGTCGCAGCCCATTCTTCGCTCTCGCACGCTTATGCCGAGCAAGTCAGACGTACAATCTAGAGACCTATGACGAAATCACTTTCACAAACGAATTCAGTTGTGTGTGGTTGTTTGTACACTTCACCGCCCTTGCATTCTGCCGCACATGAGTGACTTCCTTCTTCAACTCATAACTTCTCCTCTTCTCCCACCCAATTTTGATTCCTTCCAACAACAACAGCAACAGTAACAACAACAACAACAAGCAACAACAAGCAACAACAACAAACAACAACAGCAAACGACGACAAACAACATGTCTCGCACAACATCTAAAAATGTGCCTTACTTGTTGCAAGGAGCAGAGGGAAACTTGACATGGAAGGATGGTGAAACCATGGAAAATGCCGCCGGAGCTGCCTCCATCGGCTTCGCCACCATCAGCGCACTCAACTGCATCGTGAAGAACGAGGGCAATGTCACCGACAGAGACCTCGGTCTCATCAAGGAACTCGTCAATTTCATTCAACCAGACACGATGAATTCCTTCCGCAAGGGGTTCAGAGAGCAGTTGCGGCAAGCCACTCCACCTGGAGGACTCTCCAACTCGTTTCTACCTAAAGAAGAAGAGGAGAGAATTAAAGAAGAGGAGGGAACTCAATCCCGGCCCGCCAAGCGCAGCCTATCCGACGAGAAACCGATCATACCCCTAGCAATGCGACCGCGCTTCTTGGATGATCTGAAAGTGGAGGAAAGCTCTGAGTCGACAAGCGTGAGAGACCTAATGGAACCAACACGTCAATCGACACCATACGCGAGAACTACGGGATTGGGATTGCCGGGTATACACAATCTAGCGCCATCAAGGGTGACAAGACGGTCTTCCCGAAACCACAGGACGATGTATCCAGCTGGCAGCTACTACAGTCAGAGGGGATGATGGGGGCGGTGATTCACAAGAGAGGACAACAAGAGAATGATGGTAATAATGATTCTATTTTCACTCAAGATGCATTGAGCACCATTACTACAACAAATGCAGAAAAAAAAAGCAGCCATCACAGAAAACCTTCACTCGCATGTAAACAAAAAGCAAAAAAAAAAAAAAAAGAGTCAACCTTTTTTTTTTCAAAACGTCCATAGCCTTGGCAACAGCCAAACGGCAGATGAATCTCATATCGATATTAATATTAAGTTACCACATCGGTCAACCCAGCGGGGTGTATAATGGCTCCTTGTGCATTGCATTGCGTTGCGCGTGAACCATTTGATTCAAAGATCATCCTCTCCTCTTGGCAAAGAACCAGAGAGAGAGGTACCCCCCAACTGTGCCGTCCATGTGCTCGTAAGGATCGTAAGAATGATATTGCCCTACTGTATGAGGGTCATTTTTCCGCTAGTCAGGTCCTGTCCGTGTACACATACATTCCCCCTTCTAACCACTTCAAATAATAAATACTGCGCGCGCCCTCCCGGAGGCACTGAACTGAAAGCAAAAAGCCCAAAAACAAATCAAAGGAAACGGTTTGTTACACGCAAGTGCATCTTCCAATCAAGGAGCTGCTTTACAGAGCAAAGACGGCAGCCATGACGGCGAGACCCAGGCTCATACCGGCGCCAACGCGGCCAGCAGCGCCAATAACGGGGAGGCCAGTGTTGCCGGGGAAAGCTCCGGTGCCGGTGGCGGTGCCGATGGGGGCAGCAGGAGGAGCAACATAGGTAGGCTGGCCGGCGGGGGGAGCAGCAGGGGCGGTCTCGACGGGAGCAGTCTCGGCCGGAGGGGGAGCAACGTAGGTAGGCTGACCGGCAGGGGGGGCAGCAGTGATGCTGACCTGGGGAACGGTGAGAGCGGTCGAGACGTAGTAGGTGGTGCTGCTGCCGGGGATGGTGGTGCCCTCAGAGACGCAAGGCTCGGTGACGGTGGTCTCAACAACGACAGTGGTGTACTGGGTAGGGGTAGCATAAGGAGTGCCGGTCACGGTGATGATGGAGGTGATGGGGGCAGCACCAGTGGCAACGGCAGGGTTGGAACCGGCATAGCCAGCGCAGACACCCTGGAAGAAGGTGATGGCGGCAGAGACGTCATCATCGTTGTTTCCGTTGGAGTAGATACACTCAAACACGGACTGGACGAGATCCTTGCTGGGGCAGTAGCAGGCGGCGTCGGTGTTGTCCTTGCAGTCGGGGACCAGAGTCAACCAGGTGTTGATGCACTTGGGCAGGACATCGGGGCAAGGAAGAGACTGGTCGGGGGTAGATCCGGAGCCAGTAGGAGCAGCGGCCTCGGAAGTGGGCAGAGGAGCACCGGGGGTGATGGTGGCAGTGACGGGGCAGATGGTGGTGCTAACGGCAACGGTCACGGTGGTGACGACGGGCTTGTCGGTTCTGGCAGGGCAGTTGGTCACCTCAGGGGCACAGCTGGTGATGGTGTGGACAGAGGTGGTGAAGACGGTCGAGGTGGTCTGGTAGACGGTGGTGTAGGGAGCACCAGGGCCGGTGGTGACGGCATCAGAGCCACCGGTGGTAGCGGGAGCAGTAGTCTCGGCACCAGCGGGAGCAGTGGTGGTCTCACCAGGGACGGGGTAGGTCTGGCCACCAGGAGCGGTGGTGGTCTCAGCACCAGCGGGAGCAGTGGTGGTCTCGGTCTCGCCAGTAGGAGCAGTGGTGGTCTCGGTCTCGCCAGTAGGAGCAGTGGTAGTCTCAGCACCGGCAGGGCCAGTAGTCGTCTCAGCACCGGGAGCAGTAGTCGTCTCGCCAGCAGGGGCGGTAGTGGTCTCGGCACCGGCAGAGCCAGTGGTGGTCTCGCCGCCAGGAGCAGTGATGACAGAGGTGCTCACGACAACATCGGTGGTAGCAGTGTCGGTGGGGACGCCATAGGGAGCAGTGGTAGTCTCGCCACCAGCAGGAGCAGTGGTAGTCTCAGCGCCAGCGGGAGCAGTGGTGGTCTCGGTCTCGCCAGAAGGAGCGGTAGTGGTCTCAGCACCGGCAGGGCCAGTAGTCGTCTCAGAACCGGGAGCAGTGTAGGTCTCGCCAGGAGCAGTGGTAGTCTCAGCGCCGGCAGGGCCAGTGGTCGTCTCAGAACCGGGAGCAGTGTAAGTCTCGGCGGGAGCAGTGTAAGTCTCACCAGGAGCAGTGGTGGTCTCGGCGCCAGCAGGGGCAGTGGTGGTCTCGGCACCAGCAGGAGGAGAGTAGGCAGGCTTGGTGTGCTTGGTGTGGTGACCACCGCTGGGGGGAGTGTAGACGGGAGGGGAGTAAGAAGGCTTGGTGTGGTGAGATCCGCCAGGAGGAGTGTAGGCAGGCTGAGAGTGAGAGGGCTTGGGGGGAGCGTTGTTGCCACAGTTCCAGGTGATGTGGTGAACCTTGGTGCCGCATGACGACTTGCCGCCCTTACCACCGCCAGGGTAGACGATGGATACACTCTTAGCACCACCGCACTGGGTGTTCTTGACGGTGGTTCCGTGGGACGAGCACGAGGCAGAGTGCTTGCAGGTAGAGCCGTCGGGCATGTCGTAGTGGAACTCCATACGAGTATCAAACTCGACCGAGATGGAGAAGGTGTCAACGGAGAAGTGGTCGTTGCCGGCGCTGGCAGAGATGCAAGGGGTGGTCTTCTTGTCGCCCGTGCACTGGCCAGAGATGGAGCGGCCGGTAGCACCAAAGGTACGAGCGCTCAGGAGGGTATCACGCTTGCTGAAGTCATTCTCGCATGACCAGCCCTTGAAGTCGAATCCTCCATAGTGTCCAATCACGCCGGTGGGAACGTCGCTGAAGTCCCAGCCGTTGTGCTGCTGGGTGTTGCAGTTGTTGTCGGTGTTGCCAGGGCAGCTGTAGGGCTTGGCGTTGGTCCAAGAGCCACCGAGGGAGTACTGCATGAAGAAGTTAGCGATTGTAATTCTATATATAAAGTCTATATATATATCAAGTCATGATCGAGGCCGACTCACGGTGGCAGCAACCTGCTCAACGCTGGCGGCAGCCAGGAGAGCAAAGGCGGCAGTCTTCATGATGAAGCAGGTTCGAAACGATGGTGAGTGTGAAACGACAGTTGTTCGCGATCAAGCGAATACAAAATATGGATGAAGAATATAAATATCGATATGGACTTGATAGTAGTTTGTTTGAGGGATTCAAAGAAAACGAATGACTTTGATCCGGTAATGAGAGACTTGTTGATTAGGGAGAGAAGGAGAAGAAGAAAGAAAAAAGAAAAAAATAACCACACAAGGACTGTTTGGATCAAAGGAAGAGGAGGAAGAGAGGGACGGACTAGAGGCAGATCTATATACCCAAAGGCCGGACGCCTTTGTTGGAGGTGAGCCGTTCACACGTCCGTTGTCTTGCCTGGGCGCTTGGGCAGGCGCAAATGCTCAACCCCTGTTCCCTCGCAGCATCTCCCCACAGCCTGTGGGCAAGGCCAAATCAAGACAGAGACCCATGATGAAGCGCCGGGAACAAGGTTGAGGCAATCTCGAGTCAGAAGGTAACTGGTACCAGGCCGGCGCACCGGAGGCCGAGTATCAGCGCATAGCGGCTCGAGGAAGATTTGGGTAGCACACGGTAGCACACGGGACTTGGGACGGACAAGACGGAGCGGCTGAACAAGAGGTAGCAGTACAAAGAGCGCCTTTGGACCAGCTTCTGGCATGACGATGCTGGAAGCCGCAAGAGGCTTGGAGTTTTGGCACTAGCCCGGCGAATTGTGTGGCGGCTTTGGCTGGGTGGACGTGGGGCACATGTAGAGCCCGCGTACTCTCCAACCGGATGTGGCACCAAGCAAGTACTTGGCCGCTACCGCGCGCGAGAGTCGCCCTAAATCTGTGCCAAGAACCCCCAGGGGCACATGGATGGCCTGCTGCCGAAACGGCTCCATGTCCCAGGGGCCGCGCTACAGCGTTCTTGGCAGGCACACGGCGCTATCCAGTGGTCGCTGAAGCACGTTCACGGACCCCTAGAGACAGGACGCTTCAGGTACCACTCCCTATGTACTACACTGCAGTACTAAGGTAGCAGACGGCAGTGGACTGGATTGGAGGTTACAGGTGGGTGGCCAAGTGCCCCGTGCTTTTTTACCGCCTCGCAACCCGACGGTTTTTCGCCAGTCAGTCCACCAGTGGGCTCATGGATGGATGCGCACATGCATGCACGTGTACTGTTGATGATGATGATATTGGTGACGGTCTTTCTATGGAATCCAGTTGGTTCAACGAAAGAGATGTAACCAAAAGTACCTTAGTACCTATTCACTCACAGGCTCCAGCCAGACAGAGACCACTGCAACTGCCTAAATGATAAAATGATAAATTATCCAATGATAGGTACTAATCAAACGGCTTTCGATCCCAATGCCATGGTCAACTCCGCGCACGGCCAATCAAACTCTGCAGCTTGTAGCGTGCGGGTTATCGCCTCTGCCAATCTCCCTCCAAATGGCCAATATTCATGCGCGCCTCGCAAGCCTCACCTGCAGCGGCCACTTCAATCTCTGGGGCCACCGCCCACCACTCAATTGCCTCAGCGCCTACGGTAAGCTTGCAGACAAGTTTAACCCGCGAGCCTAATGCCCGACACGGCTAGGGCTCCTGCAGGAACCCCCCTCAGAGTGCCTGCCCGGCCTTGTCCTGCTGTGCGCTCGTACTCCGTACTTGCCCATCCAATGCTTGCACCCCCTGACGGTACGCGTGATACAAGCACAAACCTGTAAACGACTACAACCAGACAGACACTTGCGCACGGTAAAAAATTTGATGGATGGCAATTTGATATAAACGTCCACTCAATGTACATAGGACGGGAATCTCGACAAATTCTATAGTACTACCTAGTAACTACCTAGGTAGTACTATAGGTAGTGATGACAGAATAAAACATCCCAGCAAGCCATGGTCAACTGTAAAGAACACCACGTAGTACATGTACCTATAGAGTATCTCTCTCCTTCTTCTTCTTCCTCTTCTGGTTTCTTGCCTCAGGCTTGCCACCACCCGATCCCCATCCCAATCCCTCCTCAGTTCCTTCCTTGCCTTCTCCGTCTTGCTTCAGGTTCGCCGGCGCTTTCCCGCACTATCCTCGATCGATATCACGTTACCGCCTGCCCTCCCTGCTTCGGGCCTTGTCCATGTTTCTCCATGAAACTGTCACAGACCTTTTTTTTTTGTTTTCTCTCCTTGTGTGACCACCGTTTATTTTTATCTTTATCCCGCGCCTGATCTTGACGCAGACCAATCCAAACCGCCGCGATCCGCACAGGCACGGGCTCGATCTCAACTCATGCCATCCATGCCACTTCTGCAGACTTGTGCCTGACTACGCCCACTAGCAACCGCGGTAGCGCAGGTACGGCTTCTGGCTATGGAGCCTCCGAGTCTTCACCACCAGCTGACTGACGCGAGTGCTACAGTATGCGATAGTAGATTGCCTGTGCCCTACAAGTACATACTTGGACGAGCATCTCCACGCCGGCTGTAGAACCGCTATGCCAAACGCAGACACCGTCAACTCGCCTCGCCTGGCCTCGTCTTGTCTCCATCTTGACCAAAGGCGGTCGCCTACTCGTACTACGGAGCAGACCTTGTCAACCAATCCTTGTCCCGCCACGCCTTGCAGTGCCAGCCGGGTCCGGCAACTGTCTTCTTTTCCAGCTAGGCTCTGTTTGCTGGTTGATGGGTGATGGGGGGGGGGGGGGGGGGGGGGGGGAAAAATACACAA